ATCTAGAAAAAATGTACAGTTACTAGAAGGTATAATTGTGAGACATGAAAGCCCGTTTGTCAAATATATGATAATGGAAATAAATATTAGAACTAATGACAAAGATAAAATAATATCATAATATTCCTTACAACTTAAAAATTGTGAAATATAAATTATGAATTGTAGTTAAAGTAACAATGCTTAGAAAAATCCATGTGACATATAAACTCAAATATAAACTCAGATTATTTCAAATTTTAAACCTTTTTAACTTAGATCTGGATTTAATTTCTTTCAAAAATACTTATTTATAGGCTCTTTGACAGATCTGACTGTATTTTTCACAGTTTATATCTTGCAATTTGTCCTTTTACAAAGTAAAAATTAACCCAGCAGGCACAGGACATTAACATGACGTCAGATTGATGTTGTACACCAACGTCGGGGGCCGTTGCATTTTGTTTGGAAATGAAAGCCGGGTTGAAGTCGGAACCCAATGTTCAGCCGATTCAAATGTTATTACTCGATTGAATGGGCATTATCAGTGGTTATCAGCTGAAAGATTTAGGCCAGTAGAGGCCTTCTGCGCCTGCTAGTAGGCTCAGAAGGCTGTTATCATCCATCCACATGGTTAGGTTATCCATCCACATGATCAGTTATAGATCATATACGGCTGCGGCCAGTAGTTTATGAAACCAACCTAATATCAATGTCTAATGATGTTACAGCTTGAAGTTGTGTGGACGTTACCAATATGACGTCTATCAGACATTGTCTATTGGTTGCCATACATGACAATTAAATTTCAGTATTTGACGTCAATATGACGTTGGTTTAAGATGTTGGCTCAATGTTGGATTTTGGTCACACAACCTAAATCAACATAATATCAATGTCCTTTCACGTCAGTATTGGGCATCAAAGTAACATTGTACTTAGATGCTGGCGACCTAAATCTAACCTAATATTAATGTCTTATGACGTTGTGTGTCTGCTGGGAATTCTCAAAATAAAAGTCCAAATTGTGAGATCAGATATATTAAGTATATGTAAAAATATAAAAGTGATGACACGGTGGCTCAGTGGTTAGCACTGTCGCCTCACAGCAAGAAGGTCGCTGGTTTAAGTCCCGGCTGTGTCAGTTGGCATTTCTATTTTGAGTTTACATGTTCTCCTTGTGTTCACGTAGGTTTCCTCCACAGTCTAAAGACATGCGTTACAGGTGAATTGCATAAACTGAATTGGCTGTAGTGTAAGAGTGTGAATGTGAAAGTGTATGGGTGTTTCCTAGTTCTGGGTTGCAGCTGGAAGGGCATCCGATATGTAAAACATAAGTTGGATAAGTTGGTGGTTAATTCCGCTGTGGCAACCTCTGATGAATAAAGAGACTAAGCTGAAGGAAAATGAATAAATGAAAGGTATAAAAGTGAGTGTAAACACAAGGTCAGATTGCAATCGTAAACTTATTACCTATTACCAGTTACACATAACGACATACCTGAAAAGATTTTAAGAGCATGTTATGTAACTCAGCAATTTACAACATTCACAACTAATCCTGAAGCACTTCGATGTGCCGCCAGTTGTGCTGTTCTTGACAAGGGGTTAACTAAACACAAACAGTCTGTCCTCGCACAATCAAAGCCCAACAGGTGCACTTTATCCCCCCTTGTGCAACACACTATCCCTTCCACATCAACCCCAACTGCTTTACTAAAGAGATTAACTATATCCTCCATCTAAAATCCCATAAACAACCGAAAACAGCTTCTCTATCTAAACCATGTATAATATTTGATCAGTTACCAAAACTATTAGTGAACTGAACACTTAATCCGATGAGGCTCAGCTGAATACCACAGCTGTCTGGGGACAGTTAAGATGTGTTGACAGAAAACACATTTCTAAGAAGCCCCAAATCACCCTTTCGCTGTAGCGACCTTATAATAGTATGCAATGACAGACCCTCATCACACATCTCTGATCCAGCTAGATCCTATTTGCATTCAACATGGCCTTGTGTAGTTCTGGTGCTCTGTTGACAGCTATAGTCAGAACTCATATGACAAGGCAGATATCAAAAAACAAAGTATGGGAACTATATCCGTGAACCTATTTTCATACGTTTTGGACTTTTTATTTAATAAGAACAAGTTTGTATGAATAATAATAATTTTTATAGCGCTTTTATGGACACTTGAAGCGCTTTACACAATGGGGGGAATCTCCTCATCCACTACCAGTGTGCAGCATCCACCTGGATGACACGACGGAAGCCATATTGCACCACACCATGCACCACACACAGCTGATTGATGGAGAGGAGACAGAGTGATGAAGCCAATCATAATATGGGGATGGTTAGGAGGCCATTTGAGCAAATTTAGCCAGGAGGCCGTGGTTAAACCCCTACTCTTTTTTGAAGAACATCCTGGGATTTTTAATGATCACAGAGAATCAGGACCTCGGTTTAACACGTCTCATCCAAAAGACAGCACTTACTAAACTTACAGTGTCCCCTTCTCTATCCTGGGACGTTAGGACCCACACAGACTGCAGGTTGAGCGCCCCCTGTTGGCCTCACTAACACCACTTCAGGCAGTAACCTGGCTTTCCCATGTGATCTCCCATCCAGGTAATTAGCTTCAGTGGGTGACCATGTGCGAGTTGTAGAGAGCTAGCTGCTGGCTAAACAATCATAAAAACACATTTACCGAATAAATTCCAGCATGTGCACAAGAAAGTCATGTACGAGTAGTATGGGATTACTGGACAAAGTGGACTGACCATGATATAAAATATCTGAGTTTATTAAATTTTTAAAAATGCCCACTTGTCCTACCACAACATATTGTTTTTCTTTTTGATTATTGGCGCCAGTGTAACGGAGGCCAGCTAGTAAGTGCTGTGCAGGTAAACCTCACTCCTCTGACCTCTGACCGCTCTACATATGCTAGAAGCCATGGTCTTTAGCCTCCTTGTTAGAGCAACCGACTCCCATGCGGAAGGTCGTTGGCTTGATACCAGCTCTGAGTGGGTTGGGTGGCGTAAGACCAGCGGGGTTACACCAGTTTATCAGGAATTGATGATTTGTTTCTCTTTGACTCATTGGATCTTAAAAACGGTGCTTTATTCTTAAATGCTTTCTGTGATATTCTAGTTTTGCATAAGTTTAATCTTTGAATGGAAACTTATGACAAGAGCATTTGAATCAAACAAAGGCATGAAAATTCTACCTCCAACTACATTTTGAGGTTAAACTTATGAGGTATATTCAACTGCAAAACGCACACTCTTGCTTCGCTTGTTGCAGGCTGCCACAAGACTTTTGGATGAGCTGTGTCATTTAACAGTTCAGTCTCTAGAAACAATGGAGCCATTAGATCACTTCCAAGTTATTAAACTTCTTGGAGAGGGTTCATATGGCAAAGTCATGCTAGCGGTGCACAAAAAGAGAGGTAAGTGATGACAGGCCTTTCATATTTTTAGTTTCTTTCAACTAATTTGATTTCTGAAAATGATGCTCTGTTACTATATAGACCATTTTGAGGGATGTAACCAATAACAATGGTCCTAATTAATTTTCTGTGCAGCATTTTTAATTTCCCAAGAATGTCCAAGAATCTCAAACAGTCCACATATTGATAAACAATGTTATGATGGCTGTTTTAACATTAAGATCTGATTAAAATGTCTCTTTTTACCACTATGAAATATTTTGACAACAAGCAGGGAATGTTTATGGGCCAATGACATCGCCACATCTAAATGGTTAATACCAATTCTTCTTTCTGTATCTTTGACTGATTATTTCTCTAAATCTGTTTTGTAATCTAGGAACCCCAATGGCCCTTAAGTTCTTCCTGCGAGACTCTACCTGTCTCCTGTCATTTCTGAGGGAGTATAATCTCTCTTTGGCCTTCTGCAAGCACCCCTCACTTACCTCAGCTTTGGGTATCGCTTTCTCCACTCCCACTCACTATGTGTTCGCCCAGCAGCCCTGCCTTTATGGTGACCTCTATGATGTCATCGTTCCTGAGGTACGTTTCATGCATCTAAACAATGACTGGTCATGATGATTGAAATTAAACACGTCAAAGCTGATTCGAGAAAATCTCTCAACCTTTAAAACCCATTAAATCAGGGGTGTCCAAGCTTGTCCACTGTCCTGCACTGTCCTGTTAGCTCTGACCTTGGTGCTGAGTTTACAACAAGGCTGAAACCCGGAGCACAGCGAGAGGCAGGAGAAAATAGATATCAAATCACAAATGTAAACGGTAGCAGAACCATGAACTGCTTTACATGTTAAAATCAATGTCTCAAAATCAATACAAGACTAAGAGGGCAACTAGTGAAGCTGTTGGAGTACAGGAGTAATGTGAGACCGAGATGATTTATGTGATAACACATGCAGCAGAGTTTTGGAAGTATTGTAAAATCTTGAGAGAATTAGCAGGAACTTTTACGCATCCTCCATTCTTGCAGTCTTGAGGTTTGGAATTGAACTTTGGCAGTTGATGATGACATTACACAAGAACACGAGGATGCAATATCGCTGAAGAATGCATATTGAGAAACAGGCAATGAGTCTGTTTACATGGACACCAATACTCCTATTTTAATGCGATTAAGACAATACTCTGATTACGAGTCTACCATGTAAAGTAAAGTAGAGATTTTTGATTACCTTAATCCGACTAAAGTAAGTCATATTAGAACTAAACAGGAATCGAATTAAGACACATGGAGTATTCCTGTTTTAGTCACATTATTGAAGTGCAGTACAGACATGTAAACAACCTAATCAAATTATTACAGTTTTGTGGTACTTTTTGCTACATTTTGCAACAGGAGGCACACAAGGAAGTTGTCTTTTAACAACAACCAAATGAGAATGGCTTCAAGCAAGAGCACACATTTTTGATGCGAGTGAGAAATTCTGGAGGAAATGGACATTATGAAGTACCTCCAAGATTGTCACTGGGGTCATGAATGAAAAGTTAGAAAATGAAATGTTAGAGTAGGCCTGTTGCTTGAGAATTTGTATCCGGCGTCGTCTGTTTGCATGCATAGTGTGAGAAATTAACTGCAGTTGATTTTGTCGTAAACTAAAAACGAAATCCCCAAAATCACATATGGCGCCATGATGAACACAAACTGTTGTTGCGTGAAATGCCGGGGGAAACTAGCGTGGACGTAATTACGTTAATCGAACTATGTACTATAACATGTTAAACGGGAACTTAAATGTAATGTTCGAAAAGTTGCTCATGTAGACACCTTAATCATCTTGTCTTGTTCGAATTAAGGCTAATAATTAGATTACTGATATCTATGAAAATGTAGTCAATAAAAAATGTAAGGCCCTGTCCACACAAACCTGGAAAAACCATTTCAAATCTACACTTTTTTTCTACACAGTTTGGCATTCGTCCACACAAAAATGCAGCATCATGTGACAGAAAGAAAACTTTGTGATGAAAGCCATTGTGAAGATTTTCAGAAGCTCCTTAAATCGAGTGATCGTGTGGGCACTAAAACCAGATTGTTTTGCCTCATTTTGCCACAAACATGCACACTCCAATACCCCCAGTTAAAGTATAAATTCAACAGAAATATAAATGTCTAAAATCCTTAAAATAGCTTGTTAAGGAGCATTATGGATTGTAAGGATCTAAACAAAGCCTGATTCCTAAAAGACCACAGTGACAGACGAGTCTTCACATTGATTCCATGGGCCAGCCTGTACACCCGCTGGTGACCTATAGTACTCACACCTGCAGCTTCTCCACAATAGACATCCAGTGTTCTCCAGCCTCCTGCACCTAGACTGCAGCTCCACACAGGAAGTTTGGCTAGATGAGAAATGATCTAACCCAACTGATCCTGGTTTTTCTCAACTTTTTTTCCTTCACTTTAGTCAAATTGGTGACGTTTGTTCCTCGCCACTGGCTTGCTTAATTTGGGACTTCCAGCAGTGAAATTAAACCACACAGAACTGAACTAAACTGACACAGATTCAATGTCCTTGAACTTCTCTGTTAAGCTGCTTTGACACAATCTACATTGTAAGAGCGTTATAGAAATAAACATTAATTTAATTGAATTTAATATCCAGGAACAGGTCTGCAAACCTCAACTTAAACTGTCGTCAAACTAGACCAGGAGTGCCAAAGCTTGGGCCTGGAGGGCTAATGTCTTTCAGAGTTTAGCTCTGTGTTGAAGCCAGTTGGAGCTAGTCTTTGCACCACGTTGGCTCCTGTACCACCCCTGTACAAGATTTTCATCCCATATTTCACTGCATAGCAAAGTTTCCCTTTGGTAAACTCTGACCTGCAAATTTGACTTGCATTTATGCGTGAGACCAAAAGAAAATCAATACATGACTTTCTATTTCTAAAATATGGTGTAATCATTTCATCAGTATTGCATTAAACTGTTTCATTCAAATTAAATTCCCATGCTCAAAGCCTAGTGCAGGGGTCACCAACCCTGTTCCTGGAGAGCTACCTTCCTGCAGAGTTCAGCTCCAACACTGATCAAACACACCTGAACATATTAAGTAGGACATGAAGCAGCACTTGACAGTTATAGACAGGTGTGTTTGGTCAAGCTTGCAACTCAAATCTGCTGGAAGGTAGCTCTCCAGGAACAGGGTTGGTGTCCCCTAGACTAGTGTGACAGTGACTTTAATCCAAAGGTGTCAAACTAAATACTTGGAGGGCTGCAGCTCTGCAGAGTTTAGCTTTAACTCCAATTAAAGACACCTGATCAAACTAATTGAGTCCTTCAGGTTTGTTTGAAACTTACAGGAAAGTGTGTGGAACCAGGGTTGGAACTTAACTCTGAGCCATGGCCCTCCAAGAACTGAGTTTGTCATCACTGCTTTAATCCATTAAAGTTTGAAGTGCTTAAGTAAGGGATGTCCAATCCTACTGCAACGTGTAGCTCAAATTGGACATCCCAGTCTTAAGTACATTTTTGATTTCTTGATTGCAGGTTGGTCTGGAAGAGAGCCGTACCCAAGGAGTGGCTTCTCAGATCAGCGGTGCCCTCTCTCACCTCCATTCCCTTGGCTTTGTCCATCGTGATGTTAAGCCAGAGAACATCTTTCTATGCGATCGCGACTGCCGCTGGGTCAAGCTTGGCGATTTTGGCATGGTGAAAGCTGCAGGGACTAGGGTCCCGTGTGTGTGGTACAGCTCCCCATACTGCACGCCTGAGGCTGAGATAGCAAAGAAAAAGGTGGAGAGCGATTCAGGAGACACAGATGTGGATGACAATGGGAACAAGCTAAATGTGGACTTTGGCAAGACCCAAAGGATTTTGGTGTCTGTGGATCCCTGTACGGACAGCTGGGCATTGGGCATTTTAATCTATGCCATGCTGATGGGGAGCCTTCCATGGTCTGAGACTGTTAAAGACAACACTGCATATAAAGGCTATCTACAGTGGAGCAAATGGGAAAGTTCTGCATCAGAAGATCAATCCGAGGACCTCTATCAGTTGGCACCACAGTTTGGGGCATTCACTCCTCTTGTAGCCTCTCTTTTTAGGTCCCTGCTCCATCCACTGTCCAGACTTCGTGGCCGGCCAGATGAAGTAGAGAAGTACCTTGGGGGAGCTTGGCTTCTGGACAAGGATGTCAGTGGGTGATACGTCAAAGAAAGGACAAGTCTGAGAATAGTAGATTGTTGTTATTTGGTCATTCCCTCTTTAGTGGGAAAAATGGTGATGACTTCTTGGAAGAGGTTCCAATGGTAACACACATGAACTCTACAGAGGAGGAGACAAGGTGTATAGGAATACCGAAAAACTTGGGCCTCAATCCACAGTCCGGCAACATTACTGCACTCCGAAACAATGTGCAATGACTGTAAGGCTACACTGGAATCTTTAATATTACAGTGGCGGCTTCACATCGGAAGGCATCTTAATAACATCTGTGTTTATAAGACTGAATAAATACTGCCAGCCATCTCCACTTTCCAAAGTCGTTTGGCAATTTCAACAGCTCTTGCAAGTCCCTAAATCAGGTCACTCAGCTGACATCCTGAGCTGTTCTTTTTCATTTTCATGCAAACAGAACTTTTTGAACAACTAGAGAACAATCTACTGAAAATGAACAGCACTGTTATTAAATCAAACAAATACCATTTGGGAATTTCCCTTATATGTTTCCTAATAATCTGAAGAATGTTAGGGGGAAAACAGCTATAGATATCCATAGTACACTCAAAAATTACTTTTGCTGCTTGTTTAAACTAAAATGAGTTGAAACCACACAATTCTTATGTTTTTTTTTGGACAAATTATCTTTTTGGGACACCTACCTTGCAGTAGGTGATTTCAGAAACATTTTTTGTTGTACTGGTTGAAAGCCCCTTCACATTCCACTAGTAATGATTAAAGTAAATGATCTAAATGTGTTTATATGTAATTTTATATTCTGGGTAAGCCATAAGACTAAAAAATGTTCATTCAATTAATAATTGTCAGGCAGATAATTCCCATAATTCAGATAAGTAGCCCAGACTGTCTGTCAGCAAATGTAGATTTGAACAACTGCGCACTTTTTCATGCAGATTCGCCGATGCGCATTAAAGCGAGCCATGGTCACATAGACATGAGTGATATCGCTAAAAACAAATGCTGAATCAAAACTTTTGAAAACTCTGAGTCAATATTGAAGTTACTTTTGCAAGTTGGAGGAAGGATGACACCATAGCTGAAGTATTTCTGTTAGACTGGTAATGTTATGCTTTAAAACTATTTTAGTCACGCAAAACTTGTGTAGATTTTGTTGTTACGAATGGGTTATATGCACAGAAATGTTGTTCAGCCACTGAAATCTTACAGTAAACGATTGATGAGACTATTTTCAGTTTCATAAGGTCCTTTTACACCATCAATAATGTAGATTTTTATTTAGTTTAACAACCAAATATCAGTAAACAGCACTATTCCAGAGGAATACGCCGAAGAATAAAAGTATCAAATATTTCTCTTTGTGTCCAGCAAAACAAAAAATGTATACAGGATTGAAACAACCTACAAATGTTATTTTATTATAGTTTATTATGTTACGGCTAAGCACAAAATTATGTTCATTAAATATTATTTAATATTTCTATGTTAAACTTTTAATTAAGTTATTAATTATTTAATAATTTATTTATTAATTTAAATAAAGGTGCAGTACCAACAAAAACATGTTGGTAACATTCTGTTATTTTTTTTAAAAAGTGCCAAGACTAGCATAAAAGTTCATTTGTATTCATTTTTATGTTTAATGAAATAAAAATGTTTCAATTCCTATAACTAACGTGCAAAAGAAATAGCCCTTTTCACAGTAATTTACTGTAATCATGCTACGTACCTGCCTTAATTTTACAATAAAATTATGAATACAACATATAACTGTCAGTTTTTTTTACAGTTAAATACTGTAAAGCAATACTAATGTAATTTACTGTGAAAAATTACTGTAACTTGTTGTCAAAATCTGGAAATTTCTTACAGTGTAGTGCATGTCTTTGGACTATGGGGTACACCAGAAGCACCGGGAGGAAACAGACCCAAACATGGGGAGAACATGCAAACTCCGGCCCAGCCGGAACTCGAACCAGCAACAATACTAATACCCAGCGACAAAACCATACTATATGGAAGCCAATGACTTATTTTTTTCCCAGCAGTCTTTGTGTTCAAAAGAAGAAAGAAACTCAAGGTTTAGGATCAAGAAATGTAAATTATGGAACAAATCAAGCAGATTTTATTGTAAATTTAGGGAACTAACGAATAAATCCTGTTCGTGATTTGTATTTTTCTTGCATGTAATGTACAAAATTTCCTAAGGTGTCTTAATTCCCCTTGGGGTTCATGATGTAGAGAATTAGTAAAAGAAATTCCAGAAATGTTGATGTAAAAATGTAACAGTTTCCTCTCTTAAAAACAAACCATTAAACATATATTTTCACCAGTATTTACACTGTATTGATTACTCTTCGTTTGCTTAGCCTCATGAAGTTTGGAATGCTCACTCCTGTCCTAAAAGAATATTTATGCTTTTAACAGCCGATGCTCATGAAATGTCATCTTCAAGTGGAGCACTCCAAGCTGTGAGCGTAAGAAGGAGCATATCTCTCAGATTTCAGGAGAAGCCTTGCAGACACATACAAGCACTCAGACACTATGTGTCCTAGATTTAAAAATAACAGCCCGCAGCCATTAATAAAACTCTTTTAGCTATCATCACCTCTGTCAGACACACACACTTGAAATCACATACACATGCATGCGCAAACACACACAGTCCTCACTGATCTTTATCCTGAAGCGTCTCACACTTCAGTATTCGAACCTGTCCCTCCATTCATCAAAAGCTATACACACACACAAACAGTGTGAGGTTACATGCAACAGATAGGTCTGGCTTCGGTTCAAACTCGTCCAAGCAACCCATGAAAACATAACACTGTAAATTACAAGTAAATATGACAACCTTAAATGCATGATACATCAAATTAAAACCTTCATGCAACAAATCTGGTTCTGTGGATGCATTTAAAACTTGACTTTTATAAAGAGACAACACAGTTGTAAGCAATTTAAGGCAAATTATGATATTTAAAAAATGTAACTGACAACATGTGGACAACAAACTAAATAGATACAATCTAGGCCTCTGAAATATGATATCAAAATATACTTAGAGTGAGATTTTGCCTTTTGAATCTGAGGATTTTCAGGCATGTTGTTAAGAGATTAACAACTGAAGTAGCTCATTACAGCAAGAGAAGAACCACCAAGATCATTTAACAGCTCTGGTGACCATTCCAGTCACTGTCTGTGTGACCTTTCATCTGATATACTACATTAAAACACATTTATGAGTGCAATAATGCTGGCGTTCCAGTATGCTGTCATCTTGCATATGTTAATTTGTAAGTAAATGCGCAGTAAGGAAATAATTGTCTATATTTGCGAAGCATTTACAGCACTAGAATGGCTGAAATACCAGCATTCTGCTTGTAAAGTTTATTGCCAATAAATTAGCCCATTAAAACCGCAGGGACATATTTTAGAACTCATGCTCAGAAAGATCCTAGCAAATTTAACTGAGACAATAACAAATAATAGCAAATAAAAAAACAACAAATAACAATTAGTAAATTAATAGTTTACTATATATTTCATTATTATTAGTTCACTCAAACAACTCGGGTTGAGCTTAATATTATGTATTTAATTCCATATAGTTTTCGTTTGGATGAAATCCAATAGTTGAAACCATAAGCAATTGCTGCTTGCTTCGGAGCCAAATATACAGTATATAAATCATGTTCAAGCTTGTTATTTGTGAGCAGTTTGTACACTTACCGGCCAATTTATTAGGTATACCTGTCCAACTGCTCAATAACGCAAATTTCTAATTAACCAATCACATGGCAGCAAAACAAAGCATTTATGCATGTAGACATGGTCAAGACGATCTGCTGCAGTTTAAACTGAGCATCAGAATGGGGAAGAAAGCTGATTTAAGTGACTTTGACCGTGGCATGGTTGTTGGTGCCAGACGGGCTGGTCTGAGTATTTCAGAAACTGCTGATCTGCTAGATTTTCACGTACAACCATCTCTAGGTTTTACAGTGAATGGTTGGAGAAAGAGAAAATATCCAGTGAGTGGAAAATATCCCAGCTGATAGAAAGGCAACCGTAACTCAAATAACCACTTGTTACAACCGAGGTATGCAGAAGAGCATTTCTGAACGCACATGTCAAACCTTGAGGCGGATGGGCTACAGCAGCAGAAGACCACACCGGGGGCCACTCCTGTCAGCTAAGAACAGGAAACTGAGGCTACAGATCACACAGGCTCACCAAAATTGGACAATAGAAGACTGGAAAAACGTTGGTCTGATGAGTCTCGATTTCTGCTGCGACATTCAGATGGGGTCAGCATTTGGCGTGAACAACATGAAAGCATGGGTCAATCCTGCCTCATTTCAATGGTTCAATGGTTCTGGTGATGGTGGTGTAATGGTGTGTGGGATATATTCTTGGCACACTTTGGGCCCATTAGTACCAATTGAGCATCGTGTCAACGCCACAGCCTACTTGAGTATTGTTGCTGACCATGTCCATCCCTTTATGACCACAGTGTACTTATCTTCTGATGGCTACATCCAGCAGGATAACGCACCATGTTATAAAGCGCGATTTATCTCAGACTGGTTTCTTGAACATGACAATGAGTTCACTGTACTCAAATGGCCTCCACAGTCAACAGACTCAATCTAATAGAGCACCTTTGGGATGTGGTGGAAAGGTAGATTTGCATCATGGATGTGCAGCCGACAAATCTGCAGCAACTGTGTGATTCTATCATGTCAATACGGACCAAAATCTCTGAGGAATATTTCCAGTACATTGTTGAATGTATTAATCCACGAAGGATTGAGGCAGTTCTGAAGGCAAAAGTTGGTTCAAGTCGATACTTAGTAAGGTGTACCTAATAAAGTGGCCGTGAGTGTATGTTGACAATTTAAATAAATGTACTAAACATGCTAATTGTGTGGAATTTGAAGTACATGACAATGTGATCTTTTAAATCATATCAAACTGACACAATGATTAATAAATCATGCAGAGATTTCTTTTTGCATGTAATATTGACGATATTTTTTACTATGTTTAATTATGAATTTATTGTCTATTTATTTATGACCACATTCCCGATGCCAATGCATGCCTACTCACAAAATTGACTATTTAGTATAAGAACATTTGGGGAAAAAAATAAGAGATCAAACTAAGATTACAAATGAAATACTTTCAGGCCTAGATTCTGATTGGCTGATCTACATTCAAGAAAACCATAATAAATGACATTATATATGTCCAAAATCTTTCAAAAAAACATGTTTGCATGTTTAATCCAGAAGCACCTTGAATTCTCATTAGCAGAACTGGCCGATCAAATGAATGAGAGAAAGATCAAGTCCACAATCTATCATTATAATGCTAAATAACTCACTTGTTCACACGTCACTCACACATTCAAGCTTCTGAGACCAATTCGAACTTGCATCAACGAGTGAACAGCTGAAGCCCCAACATGCTGCCTATTTATTAGCCAAGACCATTTCATCGCAATGTTTCAAAACAGACCTTAACACCTTCTCCATAACCGTCCGCTATACCAGAATGACAGACAGGACACTTTGTTCTATTTCTGCACCACTACAATTAAAGGGATAGTTCACCCCAAAATTAAAACTTACTCACTATTTACTTACCCTCAAATAGTTGCAGACTTTTAAGAGTGTCTTCATTTTGTCTGAAAACAAAAGAAGATATTTTGAAGAAAGCTGAAAACCTGTAACCATTGTTATCCATAGTAGGAAAGTAGACACTATAGAAGTCAGTGGTTACAGGTTTCCAGCTTTTTTCAAAAAAATTTTTTTTTCATGAAAGCTTTTTGAAACAAGCAAAGGGTGAGTATGATGACATTTTTGGGTGAACTTTAAGCACTGAACATTCTGAAATCTTATTGATCCAAAAAATTAATTTAGTGTACATTGAATATAAACATGATTTACTTATTTAAATTTTGTCATATTTTACTCACTCTCATGTTGTTCCAAACCTGCACACCTAACCTGAACGGACCAGTTAGGCCATTTTTCCACATTTTCAATAAATGTATCCAGGTTTTTAGGCAAAAAACTTTGTGAATATTATTAAAACGAATTGTTTTATACTATGTGTATACATTCCCTGCTAAAAATAAAAAATATAAAAAAAACAGCTTGAACCAGACTAGGCTGGTTGGCTGGTTTTAGCTGGTCAGCCTGGTTTTAGAAAGGTTTTGGCCATTCCAGGCTGGTCTTAGCTGGTTTAGGCTGGGAGATGACCAGCCAAAACCAGCTATGTCCAGCCTAAACCAGGCTGATCAGCTGGTAATTTGCCATCCTGAGCAGCTAAGACCAGCCTGGAAATGGCGAAACCCCTCTAAAGCCAAACTGGTCAACCAGCCAACCACCAGGGTTATGTATCATCCCTAAAATTGTTGGTCTTTTTTGTAATCTTTTCATTAAAAATCAATATTGTTTTAAGGAAATGTGGCAGTAGTGCCATAAGAAATAAGAAAGTGCATTATCATCAGTATTTGGTGCTGATTATATGCAGTCTAGGTTAAGTAATCAGGTTGTGAAATGCATTACTTAATTAGATTGTGCTACTACTTCTAATGTAAAATTGTAAATGTTTAATTAATGACTTATATTTCCTATGCTGTGGTGGGACATGACTCATCATGACTGTATAATGCATATGCGTTATCCTGGTGTTCTTAGCTTTTTGTCCTGTTTTAAATGTGTATAAGAATAAAACAGGCCATAAAACAGATAAATAGTCCGTGTGAAGGTAGCCTGCTGTAGCCAGATAGCTAATATTGGAATTAGCACTGGAGTGACAGAGACGTTTGGTGGCCAACCTGAGAATTGCAGACTGTGATGGAAGTTCTTGCTCAACCAAAGCAGCAAAACGTCTGCAAAAAGAAGTTATCTAGACATGAGTCCCCTAAATAATCTCTGTGCTTTGAGGTTTCTGATGGAAATTATGTGTTTAGCTCATTTCTAGCTGTTCAAACTGCAGTCCAGACGCGCATCCTCAAAATATCTGACTGTATTACAAATAACACGGTCCACAATAATATTCGCCATCTTAAACTGCATTTTAAAGCAGAAACCGCTATAAAAACAAAGAGGTAGATTAAATCTGTTACTCAGGCGATTTAATTTACTTCACAAATCCACTACTATTCGCTAAATAAAACAAAGTCCATTTACGTTTAGTCTTTGATAAAAAGCTTTTTTATTGTAAGTTTTTCATTTACACAGGTTAAATTAAAGATAAACGTTCATCATAGCCTACTTTGACATCAGTCTTTTTAGACTGTACAGGCTTTAGGGTAGGGGTCACCAACCTTTTGGAAACTGAGAACTACACTAGTGTGAAGGGCTACCAGTTATTAAATAACACATTTTTCTTAATTAACTTTTAATTATATGTTAGATAAATATCAAAATGAAACACTTTGTTTGTCTGAAATTGTTTTTAAAGTTTTTTTTTTAAATATATAACTTAAAGTATTTTTTTTTAAATTTACACCAATGCAAGTGTGATTTTAAAAGAATACCTATAAAAATATTAGATGCAGCTTACTCATATGTGGTGCTATGGTGAGCTATTTTTAGAACAGGCCCGTGGGCAACTCATGTGAACCTGGCGGGCTACCTGGTGCCCACGGGCACCATGTTGGTGACCCCTGCTTTAGGGTACAGTATGTCCAACTATCTAGTAGCATTGAGTTGATGATAGAAACGTGCTCCCTTCACAAACTCTTAAAGTACTAGCCAATAAGTCAAATTTACGAAATACACTATGTTTACATTTAAATATATTAAAATCAAGCAGTTCAATGAAATTACAATTAGCTTATCTAGTCTATTGTTTTCTGCTACAGTAAACTTAGCCTTAGAGGTTACCAATGTAAGATCATACAATAAATAGAATAAACTATTGTAATTTCGGTGTTGACCTTTTATGTTTTTAAAGTCAGCAAAGATACATGTTGTAATTCTTGGAACAGATGGGTTTTGATATCTGCTAATAAACAAAAAAAGACATAAATTAATCCTTATAACTTTTTGCACAATAATATGATTGTATTTGTTTCCACACTATAAGGTAGGGCAAGCATCAGCAGAAGCAACATTAATTAATCATCAAATACCACAGTAGTTATATTCTTTAAAAGAACTACAAAGCAATGGGTGTTGTTTTTCTTTTGTATATTTTATTTTTGTTTAACATGTAAATGACTATCTTTTAGTCAAGTCAATGACAGCATGGATATGTAATGAATATCTAGACATAATCCCTGTATTTGAGGGACATATTTTCTACATTATGGCCTTCGATTTATATGCGTGTATATTTATACTGTACAGATTTGATATATTCTTATGATATACAAGATGTTAGCTCTTGAAAACATATCCAGGCCCTGTTTAAATTGTACACTTCCAAGCAGTCAAACCTCTGTCATCTTTTGTTTTTAACACTCAGACACAAATTCACTCCCCAAAACCAAAGACAAACACATACAGTTTATGACAACAAAGTGGAAACATCCAACACCTTTTGGACAAATGTAAAGATACTGAAACAGACTTTTTAAAAAAAAATCTCATAAAGTTTCACACAATGGGATGATCCTCACCGTTTTACAATCTTTTTCCATAATTTCATTTGGTTGATTTGTTTTTTTAAGACCATTGCAATTCTTAATAGCCTATTTCTCGCCTCTGTGCTTTGCTAGGATTAGCAGCTTAACATACAGATCGCCTCAGATTTTCCAAACAGTTATGCAGTATATTTTAATTGCAGTAGTTCTGATGAAAGGAATGGGAACAACGACTGAAATGAAGGATGATGAAGGTTTTGTTTTTCAGAACTGAACCCAGTTTTCAGAAGAGGGATCTTGACGTGGTGCTGAAGCAGGAACAGAGCTGAAACAAGAAAGAGGAAAATAAATACAACAAATGTTCATGATTCCCACTTTTACAGAATTTAACATATTAACGTAATCTGGAAGCTTGTGTGAACCACTGAATTTAGCCCTTGTGTATTGTTCAAATTGACTACCCTTTTCTTATGTTAAGGGCTATTTTTGCTACATTGACTTACATTATATTTACATTTTTTTATTACAAAGCCATGACCACATATGATCATGCATTCTTGATTTTTGGAGGTCTTCCTGTTGAGAAGGGGTGAACTTTGTCAATTTTCCTGTTGATCATCAGTTAGCACAATTAACACTTTAGACAGGTCTGTGCAAAAAAGTTTCTGGCTTTTATGTGGAGTTCTATGGAGTAAAACAGCAAGCTATAGTGTGCATGTACAGTATAAATACATTTACTATGTTCTGAGAGCTGAGGTGAGGTGCTTATTTTGATTTAGTCAGAAAGGTCTCCCTGCTGTGTTCACACCAGACACAGCTATTCATGCGCAAGTAGATGCATGAATATATTGAATTTACTCCCTTTATTCACACGTCAAATCCGCTTCACTCGCATGTGATATTCACTTCACAATAGATGCTGATTTGCATCATAGGCAGGGCTTCTGTCTGCCAGGTGACTCTAGCTTCAATGCTAAATGGCTAACATGGATTTTATTGAGAGAGAAGCTGTGCTTTATGTGCTTTAGGAAGGCTGAAAAACAGCGTAGATTTGTTGGGCATCATGTCTGAGTGCACTAGATCCTTTCAGAGGTGTACCCAGCTCTAAGCTCATTATCTCCTCTAGAAACTATAGCTGGATGATGGAAGCTTTCAGCAGTGCTTCCGACTGAGCCGAGCCCAGTTTGATGAGCTGCTGTCTGGTGTCATTTTCCCCTCAGGACATTAACTGCAGGGGCTAGGTCATAATAGCGATGCTCCAAGAGCAAGCTCCTGATTAGTTAACAAGGCGCGAATGTTCAATAAATGTGCAAAATGCTCAATTCACATAACGTCATTCATGCGAATCGCACTGATGTCTGTTCGCGTCTTTGCGTTAGCTTACCATGTAAATCCCTCACGCTTGATGCATCATCTGCATCTGGTGTGAACTCACCACTCAAACACGCACACACGCACGCACATGCACACGCACACGCTCACGCACACACACACACACACACACACACACACACACACACACAAACACAAACACAAACACAAACACAAACAAACACTTCATAAAAGCCATAAACTAAGCTTTTTTTGCACTGCAACTGATAATCAACTGTAAAAATAACAAGTCGTACCTCCTTTCAATATTTAAAACCACCAACAATCAAGAATGCATGATTATTTGGTGTTTTCAAGAGTTCACACTTAACTGATGATTAGTAATAAGCTAGTTTGGCATGCGGTCCCCGGAGAGAGCCCCGAGCTCATGAGAGCCTCGAGCCCGGAGCTCCCTCCCCGCTGCAGGGGGAGAGGGGAGTTTGAGCTCGGGTAGATCTCGAGAACCACCCCACATTTTTTGCTGTGAGGCCGCAGTGCTAGCCACTGGGCCGGCGTGCTGCTCTGTAGAAAAGAGGAGGAGAAGGGGTGGAAGGGGGGATTCTTCAAGCCGAAGATGACTAAAGGTAAGATGTTTGGTTATTTATACTGGGTTAGGAATAGTCTGATTGGTGGTTCGTACATTAGCTAGACTCGGAGCCAGCCGTGTCAAACATAAGCACGTGATCCTCTCGAAATTAGTTTATGAATAAACTTCACATAGAGGAATTCAATGGGGCAAAAACAGCCACTAACATATAAAAAAAGTTATTAGATTTGCCCATAGTGTATTGTTGAGTCTTTTAACAATACACATACAATAACATTTCCCAAGCATTTTCCCAAAACGTGTCAAAATAAGATTTGTCAATCAAAAATCATTCCATTTTCTGAGAAACAGAGAAAGATGTGGCTAAATTTATACTCAAAATCACCCCAGAGTGGATGAAAACATCCCCAACAGCACACAAGGGTTAAAATATTCTATTACCAAAAAAATATGAGTTTAGAGACAGAATTTGCAAGATATAAACTCAGAATGAAATAAAAACCCAATTCGTTATATCTTGCAATACAGACATTAAGATACAATATTGAAAAAAAATGTTGTTTTCTTAAAATCTTAAAAATCTTAATTTTAAGAAATTGTTTAGTTATTAGCAAATAAACTTCTGAATAAAGGAACATATTCACTGGTGAAGAATCAACAACAGTAATGATGTTACCTTGCAGAGCTAGAGAAGTCTCCCCATAGGTCAGAGCTGGGGTTGGACTGAACCACCGTATTAGAATTACTGCTGTCCAGTTCTAATAAACATGCTAAAATTAGGGAGAGAAAGTGAGATCAGACAAAAAAAGATCAATTAAGATATCAACATCTAGTTGCAACTTGCAAGACTAATCTGTGAAAACGCATCAATATATTCATCTACAAGCAGTGATGAGGTCTAACCTGTCTGTGCTCCTCCTGTTGGCTGGACTGTGTTGTGATTAGACAAAGGAGGCGGGGCAATCTTTCCTCCTGGAGGTGGAGGGAGGAGCCCCAGGCCTCCTGAGCTCTGGGGGCGGGGCTTGTCCCTCTTTTTACCTTGCTGCACACAGAAACATTTCTCTAATACAGTGGTCTCAAACTCAGTTCCTGGAGGGCCACAGCTCTGCATAGTTTAGCTCCAACCACCTCCAACTCACACCTGCTTAATAGTCTCTATAAGTCTTGAACAACTTGATTAGTTGGATCAGCTGTGTTTGATTATGGTTGGAGCAAAACTATACAGAGCTGCATCGCTCCAGGAATTGAGTTTGAAACCTGTTCTCTAATATGTGGGCATTAAAATAATAACATGATTGTAAAAAGGAATTTTTAGCCGTTTTGTTTTACCCCGATATTCAGTGTGATGGTCTGTCCTTCTTTAAAGCCTAAGTCCAGTTTGGGTCCTGAGTCTGCAGCCTGAGAATTTTTGCTGATTTCATTCTCCTGTTTCACCCACCTTAATATGAAAATATCAAAATATTTCAACAGAATCAAAAACTGGACATGATAAAATAGCTTTTTAACCATTTAAGGTGTTACTACAAGTACAAAATCATTTCCAATTATGAATGCGTGCATGCTTTTTGAAAGAATCTCACTTGAAATGATCCTGCAGGGCAACATTGAAGTCAAAAGCATCACCTCTGTCTGCAAATCCAACACCAATGAACGCACTCCGACCTAATACACAGGAAGAAGAGATAATGAACATCTAAACTGTAATATAAATTGATTTATTTATTTCCACTGTCGGACAAAAGTTTTGTTGCTGATCCCAGTTGTAAGATCAACAAATAATAACTTGATATGTAGTTGATCATTTGGAAAAGTGGCAGAAGGTCAATTTTTGCAATGAATCATCTGTTGAACTGTACTCCAATCATCACAAATACTGCAAAAGACCTATTGGAACACACGTGAACCAAAGATTCTCACAGAAATCAGTCAAGTTTGGTGAAGGAAAAATCATGGTTTAGGGTTACATTCAATATGGGGGCATTCGAAAGATCTGCAGAGTGGATGGCAACAGCCTGAGGTACTGTATCAAAACATTTTTGCTGCCCATTACATTACAAACCACAGGAGAGGGCAAATTCTTCAGCAGGATAGCGCTCTCTCATACTTTACCCTTTCCTGCAAGAAAGCTTTCTTCGTCGTTCCAAATGACTTTATTAATAAGTTATTTGAGTCATTGCAAAGATGTATGGATGCAGTCCTCAAAGCTCATGGGAGTCATACACAATATTAATTCTTCTTCAACTGCACCATGACTTTATATTATATACTGTACATTATTTCTGTTGCAGTAAGTGACAAGAATTTTGACTACGCAAAGTCAGACCTTACTGTCCTAAATAAATAATTGAAAATCAAGACATGTTCATATTTTATTTTGGTAAAATAAGTGTAATCTAGAGGCCTTTGCCTTTTATATAAGCCACTTCTGACACCAAATGATCAACTAGAAGTCGAGTTACAATTTGTTGTTCCTAAAAACTTGAATAGGCAACAACACTTTTGTCAGGTAGTGTACATAATGCCATATCAGAAGCAATGACTTTATTAACTGCAAAATCAAAAGTCAGAAGGCACACTGTGATTACAACACAATTAAAATGCATTGTTTACATTTATTTAACATTTTTGTTTAAAACAAACAAGCAAATGTGCATTAAATAACAGTAAATACAGCATTTATAAATAATATTTTAATCATAAATTTATTCATTATGATTACAAAATAATTCAAAGGCATAGCTTACAATTATAGCACAAATTGTTTAAAAAACATGTAATAAATAACAGTAAATATAGCAATTTTAAAAAAATATTTTACTCAAATAAAAACATATTTTAGAACATTTTTTTAAAATATTAATATATTGATTAGGATGAAAACATTCTCTGAGATAATGACAATGGGTCTCACTTTATATTAAGTGGTCTTAACTGATATGTACTTACACAGGAATTAATTAGTAACAATATGAAATATGAAATAATATGTTTGTTACAATGTACTTATTGTGTAAATACTTGTATTTACTGTGTACTTATGCTTTATTAAATACATGTATGTAATTACTTATGTAATTAACTTTTGTAATTACATTTGTAAATACACTGTTGACCATCCCTTACATCTTAACCCACCCTTAAACCTACCCATACCAGCAAACCTGTCCATAACCAACCTCTATCCCAACTTAAAGACTTAAACACTTAACACCACAAGTGTTCTCAAATACATTAAACACACAGTAAGTACATTGTATTTATTTTTTTTAATATAAGTACATAGTAGTTAAGGACACTTAATATATAGTGGGACTGTCAAAAAAGACTTGCAGAAAAGGGTAAATGTCTTATCTAATTAGAAATGAATGACAAGAAAAAAAAAGCAAAAACTTCAATAGGAAAGAGCTATAGACAACCAATAGTATTTCAATCTAGAGCACGAACATTTAATAAGCTAAGTAGTTTGCATAAGTTAAATATTTTATCAGTTACATCCTTTTCTGTTTTCTATAAACAAAAAAATAAATACAATTTTTGCATTTTGCAATGTTGTCAGTTATCTTAACATTATTATGTAAGAATTTAAATTCTTCTTAGGTTTTGTCTTAAGTATAACCTTACTTTTTTCTTAAGTTACACATTTTTTTTAAAAAGTCAGTGAAAAATATATTATATTATCTTATATTATATTATTTTTTTATTATATTATATGAACTTTTAAGGGTACACTTTTCTAATTATGCTGATAAATGAAGAATGTTCAGTTTCAAAGTTTCAAGTGCTTGTAGACAGGATTTAAAATCTGTTAAAATGTAAAACAAAAAAAACAAAAAAAGATTTTCCTTTTGTTTAATTTTTTTTATTATGCACACACTTCAGCACTGCATATTAAGCTTTGAATTGTTTTAAATGTATAACTAATTGTATAGTATGACAGGAAATAAACCAAAATAGCGAAACTGTTCCACTAACCATTGTCATCCTGTATTCGGAGAACAAAATAGCGACTGGAATCACTGACCGTCTCCAAAGCAATGCCTGGATACTCATTCACTGGCGCTTGAGCAAATAGCTCACCTGAAGACAGTTATGAAGCTCACGTTAATCTGAAATTCATTTCAATCAAACATTCGGGTGTTTTTCTTTTCATGCAGATTTCCAACCTGAGACTTTGTCCTCCAGTTTAATGAAAGCCACTTTCCCCTTTGCTGTTATGCGCATTCGGCCCATCCAGTCAGGAGCGTCCAACTTCCAGTCCGCCGCCCTGCCATTATCACAGCACAAATCACATTTTAGGGCCAACATATTTAAATAAATGATACATTTACTGTAATTTACTACAAATGGGAAAGTTTTTTTGTTGTTGTTGCTGAAAAGTTTCATGTAAATGACTAAAAAAAAAACATGTAGATGACTAAAAACAGTGCATTATTCATGCCATACCACTTTTTGGTGATGGTACATTGTAAAGAAACCTTAAATGTCTGTTTAAAAAAACAGTCTTGTAGTCTACTGTTGTTATTGTAGTTGTAAAGTACTTAACTGTAAAGGACATGCACTTTAAATGAGAAAATTACATTAGTAAAATAAAATGATAATGGTATGGTTTTAAAAAGAATCTACACTCAACAAAATATAAAAATGCAACACTTTTGTTTTTTGCTTTCATTTTTCATGAGCTGAATTCAAAGGTCTAAAAGTGAAAAACAGAGTCCAATGTGACTTCTATTTGCCTCACACAGTCCATTACATCTCCTTTGCATAGAGTCGAATGAGTTGTTGTTTCTGTCCTTATGGGATGTCAGTCCACTCCTCTTCAATGGCTGTGCAAAGGTTGCTCGATATTGGCTGGAACTGGAACACACTCTCATACATGTGGATCCAGAGTGTCCAAAACATGCTCAATGGGTGACATATGCATTGGTATGCTGGCCATAAAGAGCTTGGCTGTTTTCAGCTTTCAGGAATTGTTTACAGACCCTTGAAAGTGCATTATGATGCTGCAACATGAGGTGATATTCATGGAAGATTGGCACAACGAAACTCACATTGCGTTATGTCTGTGCATTCAAAATGCCGTCAATAACATGTAGCTGTTTCGTTGTTCATAACTTACTCCTGCCATTACAATAACGCCACCATGGGCAACTCGATTCACAACGTTGGTATCAGCATAAAACGCTCACCCACACAACCTATACAAGCTGTCTGCCATCTGCCCTGTAGACTGAAAACCGGGATTCAACTCTCCAAAGTGCCAGATGCCATCAAATGTGAGCATTTGCCCACTCAAGTCAGTTACAATGATAAACTGCAGTCATGGCGATTCCCCAGTGAGGACTTGAGCATGCAGATGAGCTTCCCTGAGATGCTTTCTGAAAGTTTGTGCATAAATACTTTAGTTATGCCAACTAATTGTTGGATCAGCAGTTCAGATGGCTGATCTTGATACGATCTTGAAAGTGAAGATGCTGGATGTGGAGGTCCAGGGCTCGTGTGGTTACTCATGGTCTGTGGTTGTGAGGCTGGTTGGATGTCCTGCCAAACTCTCTGAAAAGGCTTTTATAGATGGATTAATGGTACAGAAATGAACATTCAGTTTACAGATGACAGTTCTGGTGGACATTCCTTAAAATCTTGTGACATCTGTGGCATTGGTGACATTTTATTGTGGCCAGCCTAAAGCACACCTGTGCAATAATCATGCTGCCTAATCTTTATCTTGGCAAAGGAGAAGTGCACATTAACACAGATTTGGACAAATGCGTCAGCCAAATTTGAGAGAAATTTTGTGCGTGTATATAGACCAGGGATGGGCAAACTTGATCCTCGAGGGCCGGTGTCCCTGCAGAGTTTTGTTCCAACACTAGTCAAACACACCTGAACAAACTAATCAGTGTCTTCAAGATCACTTGAACTCTATAGGGAGGTCTGTTTGAATAGGGTTGGAGCTAAACTGTGCAGGACACCGGCCCTCCAGGACCGAGATTGCCCACTCCTGATATAGACTATAGTTTTTAATCTTTAAGTTCATGAAAATTTGGAGTAAAACATAAGTGTTGCATTTGAGAGTAGAGAAGCTGCATTTTCAGGATGCCACGAAACCAGTTTCATGTATATGAACAATGACTAAATTGCTTAAATAGTTTTCAGTTCATAACTAGGCTCTTTTGGTGGAAGCTTAAAGGAATAATTTACCCACAAATTCCATTCCAAACCCATAAGATTTTTTGTAGATTGCTGACAAGAGAATATCCCATTGGCTCTCATGCTTCACCCACACACATTTCAGCTTCTGTTTAGCATACGTAACGTTCTCTATGCATGACTGAAGATGATTGTTTCGATGTAAATGGAAGCATATATGATATCTGTTCATCACTTCAGCATTTTTGCTACACCCCATGCACAAATTATGTGAGCATAAGTTGAGGTGCTGTTTTTGCCTCACAGCTATCTCCTCCTCACATTAAAAATTAAGAATATGTTTATTAAAATGAACAAATTATTCCCAGCAGATCATGAATAAGGGGCGAAGCAGTGGCGCAGTAGGTAGTGCTGTCGCCTCACAGCAAGAAGGTCGCTGGTTTGCTGGTTCGAGCCTCGGCTCAGTTGGCGTTTCTGTGTGGAGTTTGAATGTTCTCCCTGCGTTCGCGTGGGTTTCCTCAGGGTGCTAAGGTTTCCCCCACAGTCCAAAGACATGCAGTACAGGTGAATTGGGTAGGCTAAATTGTCCGTAGTGTGTGAATGTGTGTGTGGATGTTTCCCTGAGATGGGTTGTGGCTGGAAGGGCATCCGCTGCGAAAAAACTTGCTGGATAAGTTGGCGGTTCATTCCGCTGTGTCGATCCCGGATTAATAAAGGGACTAAGCTGACAAGAAAATGAATGAAGATCATGAATACACCCTCCCACCCCCCCAAAACAACAACAACAACAAAAAACAAGAGTCTCATATAACCTTTTGATGCTAACGCCATGCTAAAACATCAAGTGATTACTTTAATAAAGATTTTTTTAAATGTAAAGCAAAGTAAAGTAAAATATAACCCTAGTTTCACTGTTGATGAGGAGTGTTACTACCCTATTTGAAATTCCATGGTTAGACAAAAATCTTTTAGTTTTTAATAAAAAAATATATATATAATTTGAATTGAAGATTAAATCAAATAAAAACATTATTTTCTGTTGTAGTCAAACATCTAGATACACAAAAATGAGCAATGAAACAAAAAGTGTCACAAAATAATTTTGCAATGTAAAATTTGTGACAGTTTTCAATCTCGGTTTATGTGAATGCATGTTACTGACCTTTCTTTATTCACATTTTTGACCTTGTAAATGACCGACTTCTTTATATTCCATTCTCACTCAATACTTATTATTTATTTCACTTATGTGCTGTATGTAAGATTTTGACTCCTCTAAAGTATAAAATACCATAATATGTTTGCGGATATTTAAGAAACATGCAAAGTGAACAATCTTGCTTATCGGAAAAACTCAGATATTCTGCTTTGAAAATGTGAGTTACATGCCGGAACATGTCTTTGTTTTGGTCACTTTAATCCGCCCACAGCCAGTTTAGCCATTTATATTTCAGTGCCCTGAGTTGCCTTGTTGGAAAACCGTGCTGTTCATTTATTTAGTCAAAAAGGCTCTCAAAGCATGCATCTGTGATTGAAATGCGACCTCTGGTGGGGAGTAGCAGACTCTCAAATGAGACGCAGATTCTGAGTTTTACATGTGGTTGTTAATAATTAGCAAATAATATAAATATTACGAACGTAACCACTGGGTTATCAGTTTGCATTGTAGTCCCATTTCTCAACGATTTGGCTGTTTTGAGACACAACACAACAAAAATTTAAATACAGCCATTTAGAAGCACAAAATAGTGCACTTAATGCACTCCAGTGAAATTGGGCCTATTTATTAAACCCATTTAAAATTATTATTAAAGTCCAATTTCAAACAGTTTATTTTATTTTCAAGATCTGATGTGAACTATCTGCAGCTGCTTTCAGTAGTATGGCAATAAATGTCATGTAGAATGGCATTCAAACTCACATTATTAGCAATTAACACTGAATAAAGCACATGAGGTGTACTTTGTCAGTTTTCCATTGTTCATCTGTGAGAAATAGAAACCGTTTTTAATATATCAATACCAGGTGTTGGTTGGGACAAAAAACTGCTTTTAATATGGAAAATATTCTCTCTATCGCGTCCCTTTGTTTTTATTTGGAACATGACTTAAATCAGCCTTTAGGCTCATTATTCAGGCATGCTGTTGATGTCGTCAATCTGGCAACCTGCGCTTGCGTGTGTTTTAAACCAGGGGTGCAATACCTAGTTCCTCCAGTGGGTGTCAAACTTACATACTGCACATTTAAACTACATCCTAGCAAGCCTAAATTCATGCTTTGCTTTTGTTATTTAATGCCCCATGTAAAAATCCAATCCAAGACACAAACAATCTTTTCCATTTTCAATAATCTGATCAGTTAAACGTACTGAATGTCACAACATGAAAGAAAAACCAACTTCAATTCCACTCTTCCTTTAGTGGTCTCAAAATCCCAGCTATAGCAGAAAAACCTGCAATATGTAAAGAAGGTCTTGTCTGAAAACAACTGCTTCTTACAAAGATCTAATGATCTAAAAGGTCTGTTTTGACAACATTATAAATCATTACAGATGTATTACGAATAAACAAAGCTCTAAAATTGTGTCTTCCAGATGTAAACAAACCATCAAATAGACTAGACATCAAAATGATGTACGTGTGCTGACACTTTAGTGGCATCAAATACGCCAGGCATCAAATAAATTACAGCCCTTTGGGTTGAAGATTTTAGCTCAATGGGAATAGAAGACATTTAACCCCTTTCCAGTTTATAGCAAATTTTAATAACTATTGCAATACGCCCTCGAGCTCCTAATGAGGGAATCCAACAGGGATTTTAGAAGAGGAATGTGTGTCACTAAAACATCCCATTCTCTGTGGGCAAGAGCTTTTAGGACTAATTATACGCTATATAAAGAGGACCACTTAAAAACTCATCAAAACACACGCTTTACATCAACACATAATATAATACTATAATCAAAATAAAAGATTGACTTCAATATTATGAAAATAACCAACAAAACATTATGAAATGTAACAGTTTCAGCTGACTGTTTCGTAGTAAGATTAAGTCGTGAGCTAGAAGACAGACTAAGCATTAGAGATCACAGGATGTTTTCCTTCCATCAAAACTGATGACAAAACACAGCCTCTGCGTCAAAGGCACTATAGAGAAACATAACAATAATAAATAGGATACGAGCATTATTTACAACCGAATGTCGTTCGTAATAGCACTGTAGTGTTACACAGACGAAGCAAAATGGTATTTCAGCATTATTTACAGATCAGGCACCTGCCGTAGGCTCAGGCCCGCACATCCTTTAATTCACCTGTATCCGCGATTCGACGCCCGCGGCGGGATGCGGTAAACATTGACATCTGGTTTCACGCACAGGATCGACTCGTATTCCCCTTCGGACGCCATCTTGAACTGATTTCAGTGGATGTGAGTAATTTTTCTGTCTTCATCCAATTTGTTATTGCGGGCCAGCCGCTCGTACAGGCACCGGAGCGTCAGTGACGTCAGTGATGCCTCAGGCACGAGCTTGAGAATCACGCATCACGCGTCATCAGATCTCCGGGTGAATGGATCGACTCATTGTTATGGAAATCGGGATTAGTGCACGCGCAAGCATGAAGTATGGATCGGCGGATTTGTCATTTTCTGTTCGCATCCCCTTGGCTTTTTTTTTTTTTTTTTGCAAACCGGGTGACTCATGTTTAACATTCTCGAAATCAGGATAATTTGTTATTATTTTGATAGGCTTTCATTAAAAAAGGAACTAAAACAAAAACTGGGTTTGTTTACCCTTGTGGGTTTTAGCGTAAGACATATAGCCACGCCTGATCATTAATATTCACATTCCAGCGGATTAGTGGTTGCATACAGCCCCTCCCACCTCATGAATAATTCAGCGGGGTGGCTTCCGCTGCGTTCGTTTTTTGACAGGTAGCCGTAAAACGGAAGCGGAAATTTCCGCTAGGCTCTGGAAAAGCCTCTCATCTTCTCTCCCGTCCATTCTCCAAAAAGGTTGGTATAGTAATATAAATATACAGTTATATATTATCTTCATCAATCAGACATTTTGTCGCCGAGCTGACGTAAGAAGCGATGCTCTATATATATATATCTGTGGCTAAGGCGCAGTGTATATTCATGTATTATTATTCTCGTGTTTTTAAGGCGATGGCTTTCATTCAGCAAACCAATATGAGCTTCTGCAGGTGTCAGATTGCAGTCAGGGCACGATCAGACCTGTGTGATGCGACAGTCTCGCTTTTTTATTGAATATGACTATCATTTAATTTGTGTTATCATCATCATCATCAACATCATGTGATGCCATCAAGCACACGTTATCTTTGTGTTTATGCATCAATGATGAGATGTCTGCCAGCTTCAGAAATCAGCCATCATTTGGATCATAATGTAAATGGCAGATTGATTTGCTGATGGAAATAGCTTAAGTATTGTTTTGATGGCAGTGTGATGTTGATTCAGAGGATGTTTATATTACAAATCAATAGTATTACATTTTACAAAAATGTTGTATATTTCAGAATTCCAATAGAAATACCTTTACCCCATGTTTTTTTTTTTTTTTAATGTAACTGTTTCATCAAAATCTTGTTTCAGATTTCCCCCCACATTTATGATTTATATGCCATAAAGTTGCCATAGAGTTGCTCATGGACTGAAGTGCTGGTCAATTGAGAAATTCAGTGAACAGTCATTCCAACATCTTTTAATAGCAGGTAAGTTGAGGAAAATGTTATTATAAGTATAAGATATAAGATATATATTATATGTGTTATTACTATTATTGTATATGTGTTGTTGTTAATAATTGATCAATAATAAGTTTGTCTTATGCTTTGTTTAGGGTTATTGTAGTTAAGTAAAACCATAAAAAGTTTTATTCTAAATAAAATATCAATTCCATTTCAGCTTTATTGTGAAGGCAACATTTGTCTTTGCATTTAGTTCATTAAAGAACATAGAACTACTAAAAATAAATTAACATGACAATACAAGCTATGTAGACACTTTAAAAAGCTTGCAACAATTGCAAAACAACAAAATCGTGAAATCTTAAACGAAAATAAATTGAATATGTGAAAATATTAACTGCATGTGAATAAACAAAATGTAAATAGAAAAAAAATCATAATTGATAGCATATCTAGTAATGATTAGTATTTATCATAGTATCATAATGGATATATATATATATATATATATATATATATATATATATATATATATATATATATATATATATATATATATATATATATATTCTATTATGAAATGGCCAATAGCAAAACCATTAACGCAAAATTATAAAGACACTGTTTTCTTATCCCCAAAGATATAAAAGAATATTTTTGAGCAATTGTATTGATCCATGCACTGTAATTGCAACGATTAGCAATAATCAACCAACTTTTATAAGTTATGTAATTTAAGTTTTTTGTATTTTATAAAATTTTGTTATTCTTGAACAGGTCTAGGACAAAACTGCCATCATGACTCACTCAATGCTGCGACGACAACTGAAAAACCTCGTTCAGAACTTCTCTGAAGCAGAGGTCAAGGTGAGTTTCACTTATCTCTTCAAAGCTCAGTTGTCGCACTCTTCAAACCCTTCAACACTTTCAAATCTTCACAAAGAGGTTTCTGAATTACATGTGTGTATGTATACGTATACAATAGTTATATACAAAGCTTTAACCCCAACTAGTATAGAAAAATGTATGATAAACACAGTGTAGTTCATATTGAATTGTGGAACCCACCTAAATTTTGATCTATGAAAATCTTTTTTAAAGTTAAAAACCGTGGAATCAACTGATATTGTTTATTTTTGACAATACAAGTTAAAGATCGTTGCATTGTTGGATACAATTTCCTTTGTTTTATGTTGCAAATATTGTGAGAAACAGTTCTTAATCCATTTTTTTATTCATAAATATTGTGGAGAAATGGTTGTATGTAATATTGAATATGGCGTTGCTTTCCAGTGCAGATGACTTTGTTTTGACAATAAATTAGGGTATGTTCTTGGTAAAATTGGAATAAATATACAGTATTAAAAATACAAAAGAATAGCACAGATGTCAGCACAACTATGACAATAACAACACGCATAAATGATGTTTTATTGCAGGTTTTTCTGATTTGTTTACATTTTAATTGTGAATTTTAAAAATATTCAGCCAATCAAAACACATATTGAGTTCAAGCGTTTAAACCGGCTAATAACAAAACTGCAGGATGCAAATAAAACAGAATAAAACATTTAGCAGAATAAAAAGGCATGTTGTTGTTGTGGATACTGCTACAATGATTATAGATGACCTCTGTTGGTGCTACCAGTACTTTACTGCTCAGAGATTTACATCGTATGTTTTACATATGTTGTGTAGGTTCGAGAAGCGACCTCTAATGACCCCTGGGGGCCTTCCAGCTCTCAGATGTCCGACATCTCGGACTTGACCTATAATGTGGTGGCCTGCAATGAGATTTTGGCCATGCTATGGAAACGTCTCAATGATGACAAGAACTGGAGGCATGTGTACAAGGTGAGGGAAGTATAGAGAACTGAAGAAAACGGTCGTCGGGTTTAGGGAACCAGATTCGAAGCTTGCTTGCCTACTCAGACTGATTGAATATTTATAGCAAGTGATCGTTTTTGTGATCCGGTTACCTGATCGGTGGCTGAGTCTCTCCTGTCAGCAGGACCGTCGCTGCTGCTGCTGCAGTGTTTGAGCTTGTGCAGGCTGGATTTTCCATTCAGCTTTAATGCCATGGTGTTTCATGCTCTGATGTTTACCTATGGCTTTGTGTACTGTTGAGAGAGCAAGAGAGAGAGATGCAAAAAGAGAGATTAAGTTTTTAAGCAGTGTTTGCTATTGAAACATCACATAGGAATAGTGTATTTAATTTAGTAGTAGTAGTAGTAGTAATGGTAGTGGAAGTATTTAGCTTTTTTGCTATTATTATTACTATTAATATAGTAAAACGTTTTTCCCAAAAACATTGCAAAAGAAATAACTTTATTCTTGGTTGCAATAGCAATATCTTTATTTTGAAACCTTTTGCACAAAGCCAGTTTTGTTTTTACCCTGGTAATTTTGTGTTTGGTTTGAGCAAACGCTGAGTTTTTGGGCTCAAGAAGGTGGGTTAGTTTTAATTGGATTTTGTTGTCAAGGTAGCTAACACTACACCTAACCAGAGCAAGTTTTATTCTGAGCTATTTGGAGATTGCAAATCCAAACTAGACCAATCAGGTGTGAAAAAAGTTGCATGTGCAGGGGAGTAAGTATTAAACACGTCATGTTTTTTTTCGTGGGAATGATATTTTTAAAGGAGCTTTTGACATGGAATTGAACCATATTTTGGTAAAAACCCAAACAATACAAAGAAAAAATAAAGCAAAATAAATCTGAAAAAAGTTATGTGTAATAACAATGGAATGGCACAAGGAGAAAGTATTAACTACTGAAATGTATTTAATATTTCATATAAAATGATTTTTTGGTGATGGCAGCTTAAAGATGCCTCTCATATGGAGAATGGAGTCACATGAATTGCTCAGGTTTTAGTTTTTCACAGACTTCAACATAGTGTAAAATCTTGATGGTTCTATGGGTCTCGTCTTTCAAATCTGATCTTTATTTTGGATTTTCTATTGGATTCAAGTCAGGGGATTAGCTGGGCCATTCTACAGCTTGATTTTCTTTCTCTGAAAGCATTTAATAGTTTCTTTTGCTGTGTTTTGGATCATTGTCTTGCTGAAATGTCCACTCTGGTTTCATCTTCATCATCCTGCTAATGTGGATGTTAGACCTAAGCAGCTAGTATTAATTTACAATGACGAGGAGCAGAGGGTTGCTGAATACCTACTGAGAGATTTCAGCTGCTGTCTGGGCTTTCACCCTGCTTTCTTCATGTGTTCAATTATTTTTTCCCTGTGTCATTTCATTTTATTACACATAACTTCATTTGTAATCTAATTAGATTTGTTTATTTTGCATATATGGATTTCTTTGGTTGTTACCAACATCTGGTGAAAAAATTAACTCAACAGCAGCTTTAGAAATATGCTTTCTGAGAAAAATGGTGACGTGTTCAATTCTTATTTGCCCTACTGTATATCCAATGCAAATTAAAGCCTTTTAATCAAAATTTAATTTGTGGCTAAGTTTTATTTTATATGAATTATAAAATAGTTCAAATAGTTTTGATTTTTTCAATTAACAATGGTTATATAAGACATTATCACATAAATGTAAATGTATTTTAATATCGGAAGTTTTTAACATGAGCTGTTGGTGAACCTACATTATTAAAATCAGTTGATTAGATTAGCATTTATATAATTATATTATCTTTAATTTGCCTTCTCAAATTTTTGCTGCAAAAGCTTTATATTAAGCGGTGTGAAACAACTGAACCTGATCTTAACTAGGTTGGATTTGTTTGATTTTTGTCGACCAGAAACTTACTTTGTTTGTTAAACTCGTTTTTGTATAACTGGCCTTTGGAGCATGTTCAACTCCAAAATAGAAAACAAATACAATGTAAGTTTATAATGGAATTAAGTGTGAAAGGGCTTCACTATGATACGATGTAAATGATATTGTACAGTAGGTGCAGCCTTTGATTAATTGGTTTATTTTAAAACTCCATTTCAGTTATAAATGTAAATTAATTTGAAAGGTTTAACTTTCTAATATGGTAACCACCCTTAATCAGAATTAATTCAGTAAATAAATTCTGAAATATATAAATAAACTGTTAGATGCATAAATATATGTGTATAGTTAAAAAAAAAAAAAGATGCATACATGTATTTATTTGTAAATTTCATTTGCTGGGTTTTTGCACATCACTCATCAATAGTAGAGAACAAAACTTTTTAATGTTTTTTTTAATGTAGTTTAGGCCACTTCATTCATTCATTAATTTTTCTTCAGATGAATCCCTTATTTATCGAGGGTTGACACAGTGGAGTGAACCACCAACTATTCTGTAATATGTTTTACGCAATGGATGCTCTTCCAACTTTTCCAGAGGGTTGCAGCTGGAAGGGCTTCCGCTGCCTAAAACTTATGCTGGATAAGTTGCCGATTCATTCCGCTGTGGTGACTGCAGATAAATAAAGGGACTAAGCCAAAAAGATAATGAATGAATGAATCCCCTACCAACTGCAACCCAGAAATGAGAAAGTTTAGGCAACTTTTTTTTTTCTTTTTTTTTTTCTTGAGAAGCCATAGCTGATCATGGTATAATTTAAAGACTACTGTTAAGACTTGCAGATCAAGTTAACATTGACTAGAGCCCTATTTGGATGTCAGTTATTTTTCTTAAAGACATCAGTAAAAGAAAGATCTTCATAGCTCTTCAGTGATTAAAATAGTAGTTCACCCAAAAATGAAAATTTTGTTATTAATTACTCCGCCTCATGTCATTCCAAACCCCTGAGACCTTCGATCTTTAGAACACAAATGAAGCTATTTTATGGAGCTAATAATATGCCAAAACAATCTGTATTTAAATTGTGTTCATTTGAATCATCGACAATTGCTATAGAATATTGTAACAAATAGCATCTTATATAATTTGATAAATAAGTGTGTGCATGCAAATATGTACTTTACCAGAGTTGTAAAATGCTGGAAAAAGCTTGAAAATCCCTTAAATGTGACTTTGGTAAAGGTGTAAGATCCCTGTGTATGCTGAAACAACCTATAAGAGGTTACAGTATAGGTCTGAATCAGCTCTTTATCCCTCAAAACACCAAAAAACGTAAATAAAAATGCCAATGATATGTAATTGAATGTATTAAATGAATTTGGTTCACTGAAGCATGTATATATTTATTACACTAACTACTGAAAATAGTTGAGCCCCAATAGCCAGTTTGCAGTAGAATAGTGTCCTCCTGAGCCTAACATACACCAGTAAACTCACGCAGCTCTGTGATTGGCCAAAATGCTTAGTTTGACTTTTTGGTGATCGTCTACTCTTCCCATCTTGAAAATTTGACTGAATGTCTGCAGTCTGTGAATTCAGAACACAAAAAAATCAGAAGGTTGAAACTGCGTACAGAAAAAAATTCAGCCTTGAAAAGTTCAGTTGTCTTACATTTCAGATGTTCAATATTCAATTTCTGATTTCAAATAAAGACATTTTTAACGGCAGATAAAATTCCGATTTATTAAATTACAATTGTCAATAATTCAAATTCAGATTGTTTTGCCATTATATTAGCTCCATACTATGTAAGATGTAATCTTACTTAGCTATATTTACAACATCCTGAGATATTCAAAGTCCAGAAAATTAAACAAAAACCTTGTCAAAACATTCCATGTGACTTCAGTGGTTCATCTGTAATCCTATTCAATACAGTTCACGTTTATTTCTATAGCGCTGTTACAATGTAGATTGTGTCAAAGCAGCTAAAACATTTTTAGTTTTAGGACATTGAAACTGTGTCAGTTCAGTTTTCTGAGTTGAAGTTCAGTTTAATTCAGTTCAGTGTGGTTTAATTTTCACTGCTCAAAGTCGAAAACACTGAAGAGCAAATCCATCGATGCGCAGCTCCACAAATTAAGCAAGCCAGTGGTGATAGTGGTGAGGAACAAACTTCACCAATTGACGTAAGTGAAGGAAAAAAAACTTGAGATAAACCAGGCTCAGTTGGGTAAAATTCCTCCTCTGGCCAAACTTCTTGTGCAAAGCTGCAGTCTAGGTGTCGGGGCTGGAGAACGCTGGACATCGTGGAGAACTGCAGGGTTGAGTAGGTCACCGGCGTGTGTTCAGCCTGGCCCACAGGATCAATGCAGAGACTTGTCTGTCACTGTGGCCTTTTTAGGAATCAGTCTCGCGCTCTACGCTCCTTCATGATCACAACAGCATCAGCTCAGAATACGGCCTGGTCCGGGATTATGGATACCATTCAAAAGACTGATTTCTTTTCTTTCATTTGGGTTCTTCAACAGGCTTTAACTCTACTTGAGTATCTGTTGAAAACAGGCTCCGACCGAGTCCCTCAGCAGAGTGTGGAGAACATCCACATTATCAAAGCTTTATCTGAGTATCGCTTCACAGACAAGGATGGAAAAGACCAGGTACTGAAAAATATTCAATTCTTCCACATTCTCTTACACTCTTGACGGTTATATGAAAGGTCTGAAACCTGATCATTAATAAATTTGCTCTTTTTGTAGGGGGTGAATGTAAGAGAGAAGGCTAAGATAGTAATGGTGCTGATCGAGGATGAGGAGAAGCGGAAAGAAGAGAGAGATTTTGCTATGAAGACAAAAGACAAGCTGACGAAGGCTCCCAATGGTAAGACTCATAACAACACTACACTGACAAAAATGCTGGGTTCCACACAACTCCTTCATGTTGTCCCAACACAAATCGATTAAGTTAACTGTTTTTTCAAATTTAAATGGATCGAACATAAAACAAGTTGTCCCCAAAAAATTCAAGAATTATTTCATTTCAGCTCATTTTAAATGAGTAGTTTGAACAAGCTGCAGAACTCTTTTGTTTTTAAGTGTTTTACTATTTACATTTTTGTTTTACACAGAAGGTAAATCGCATAATAATGAACTTCCTCAAGATATGGATGATTTATAAATGCAAAAAACTGGAAGCATTAAAAGTGCCCTAGAAGATGTCCAAAATCTTTACACGCATTGACCCAGGGACTGTTTAGATGCATGTCACAGATGATAAGATGACGGATGTTTTCTCTATGATGACCGTAATGGTCTTAAACACCCTGCAGGCACAAGATGTTAACCTGCCATTATATTGACGTTGTGCCCTAACGTCATGAGGACACTGCTGTTTTTTTGGAAATGAATTAGTCTAGTATTGGGATTAGTTTATTAATGCATAGGACAAAGTTGAAATCATCAAAAATTCCTTCAACGTCAGAACTCAATGTCAGGCCAACGTCAATGTCCAACGGCCAACCTAAAACCAACGAAACACCAATGTCTGCTGTCAGCTTTCAATGATGTTACAGCTTGACGTTGTGTGGACGTTACCACTATGACGTCTATCAGATGTTAGACTTTGGTTGTCGTACCTGAGGAATAAATGTCAGTATTTGGCGTCAATATGATGTAGTGGTCACCAAACTTGTTCCTGGAGGGCCGGTGTCTTGCAGATTTTAGCTCCAACCCTAATCAAACACATCTGAACAAGCTAATCAAGGTCTTACTCGGTATATTTGAAACACCCAGACAGGTGTGTTGAGGCAAGTTGGAGCTAAACCCTGCAGGGACACCGGCCCTCCAGGATCGAGATTGGTGACCCCTGGTTTAAGATGTTGGCTCAACATTGGTAGAATTTTTCATGTATTTTAACGTTTGTTCTGCTCACCAATGCTTAATTTATTTGATCAAAAACGTTTTTACAAGTTATAGCATTATCTTTAATGGACAATTAGTCATTTATTTTCTAATATGATTATTGTCCCAAAACAGTTATTATATATTTATTTATTTATTTATTTATTTATTTATTTATTTATTTATTTATTTTTATTATTATTATTATTACAGTTGAGATCTTTTGTGCTGTTTAATATTTTTGTAAAGATCTGAACAATTTTAGATGGTAAATAAAAAGTTTAAAAGATTTATTTGTATTTTTTTGGTCTTTAAAAGAAGTATAAGCTTATTTAAGTCTTTTCTGGCAACTTAATTCATCCTTGCAGAGCAAAAGTATTTCTCACCTAAAACATTACAGTAATGGCCTTTTTTATTATTAATTTTCCATCTCTGATGTTTCCTGTTTCATCTCAGTATCCTCTGCTACGGTACCAGAGAAGGAAAAGCCAGAGATCCCACCTTATACAGGGCTGCCCTCCCTGGACAACATACCTTCAGTGGCAGACCTGGCCGCTGAGATGGCCAGGAAAAAAGAAGAACAGAAACGCCTGGAGGCGGAGAGGAAAGAAGCAGAGAGACGGGTGAGATCAACTGCTCAGAGAAACTATTCAGTATTTGTTTAAAGTTTACTGACTTGATTCGATTCTGATTCACATGATCTTGATGCAATTCACAATTTCGATTCAGTGTGTGCAGATTAAATACATGTGCTGTTGAACGTTTTAAAAGTCGGTGAACACTTTGGGCTCTATTTTTATCCACTTTGATGTATGTGTGGCGTCAGAAAGTTTAACCTGGTGCCATTAAATCAATTTGCTGTGTCTTTAATTTAATGTAATCACAAAAAACCTTCCGCAAAAAAATAAATCAAAAGGCTGATTGCCTAAATTTTTTTAATGTAACTTATAACTACTTTTTTTCTGTAGGTTATGGATGAAATATAGGCATTTTAGTAGTTTAATAAAATGAATTTGATTTTTGAAAATTACCAAAGATTCCTGATCATTGTCCTGCGACCCCACTCGCCCCCCAATGTGGTCCAGACCACCACTTTGGAAACCACTGCCCTACAGTAAAGTAATATCAAAATTACTATAAATTTAGCTGCAGAAAGAATCGTCTCAGTTTTGGGGGTTCTTTATGGGGTTTATGTTAATTAGTTCAATTTTAATATTAGATTAATGAATTATGAGATGAATAAATAGCACCTCATTGTACCAACTTATGTTATAAAACACTTTACTAATTGTTTACAGTTGTAATTCACACAAAGCATCATGGGGCGCAAAAAAGGCTGGATTTCAAAATTGGTGAGTGTAAATGATGCTTGGTGTATGTCATACACTGTAAAAAATAATACCCTATATCTACCCAATAAAATTGAAGAGCAATATTATTAATTAAATTCAACAATTATGGGTTAAGTTAAAATTAGTTTAATTATCTTATTTAAAATTAGTCATTTAAAATAAGTAACTGCAAACAGTACTTAAAAAATTAGCTAATTTTAACCAGTTATTGATTTAATTATTGATCGGTGTAACAGAAAATGACTGTGAATTTGAACATTTAATCAAGTTGGATTTAATCAATATTTTCTTTTTTTAGATAACACATAAATTCTTATAATTAAATTGATTAGATTTTATTACAGACATTTTAAAGTAATTTCAAAGCGAAAAAAATGGCCTAAAAACAGGAAATTATTATTTTATTAAATGAGGTGTACATATTAAATTTAATGAAATATACAAGGTCACAGAATGACTTTTTACAGTGTAACTGTTTTGAAATGCTTTTGAAATTAATCCTGTTCAATGTTTCTCCACTGGAGGGCGATCTGTGTAATATAAAAGCCATGTGAATCACTCCCCTTCATCACAATTCACAGCTTTTGAGATTCAACATCGAATCTTTTTACTCTTAAAAATATACAATTTATTTATAGACATATTTATTGATCAAATGTTTCCTTCATTTGAGCAACTTCAAAGTAAACACAATTTACCTCTGTCCAGTTTTTAAAAATATTTACAGGTACGAAACTTTGTGAAACAAAACAACCCACTGTAACCTAATTCCCCGAATCAGTCATCTATGGAAACGATAATTTTGCGTGACCCTAATAAAAAGGGGGGTATTTCATATATATATGGAATGCTCTTCCAATTAACAAACACAGCAACTTTAGAATACCTAAGATCCTCCTGGGAGGCAAATTTAGGTGTTGAAATCACCAACGAGCAATAGGAATAATCCCTTAAACTAATCCACAGATCATCGGTATGCGCCAGGCATGGCCTCATGCAATTTGAAGTAATACATCATTTACATAGGTCCAAACAAAAACTTAATAAGATATTTCCAGAAGTGGACCCTGCATGTAATGGGTATGGGCTATAACCGGCAGCACTGGCTCATATGTTTTGGAGCTGCCCATAATTATCATGGTACTGAGAAAAAATATTTCTAACATTCTCAAAAACAGGTCATAAGCCGATACATCCATATCCCTGTATAGCAGTTCTAGGCGTTAATGATTTCGAGATAGCTAAAAACAATACTGGACAAACTATAGTTCCATTTGTCTGTCTACTAGCACAAAGGTTAATATTATTAAACTGGAAACAGAAAGAAGCTCATACATATATACATCTGATGAGGGATGTAATGAAGCAAATGGAACTGGAGAAAATCTGATTCTACCTAAAAAGACAAATTCTATAAAATCTAGCAACCTTGCATGGCTTACTTTAAAGACATAAATTCGACAGGAAAAAGTCAAATTGAAGAGGATTAGACCAATTTAGTTGAAAACAGAAGATTATTATTATTTTATTTAAACTTTTTAAAATTATTATTTATTATTGTATTTATTTTTGTGTTCTTTTTGTAATTTTAATTTAATTCTATTATAATTATTGTTTTTCTATTTTATTTATTTATTTTTTATAATATTAATCTATTATCACGATATTTATATATGGATTGTTTGTATATTGCATGCTTTATTGTCAATTGTGCAAAAACAACAAAAAGCACAACAACTTACAAACAACTTTGGTCTAACATTTACACCACAATTGACAATAAAGCATGCAATATACAAACAATCCAGATATAAATATAGAGATAATAGATTAATATTATAAAAAATAAATAAATAAAATAGAAAAATAATAATTATATTAGAATAAAATTTAAATTACAAAAAGAACACAAAAATAAATACAATAATAAATAATAATGATAAAAAGTTTAAATAAAATAATAATAATCTTCTGTTTTAAACTTATTAGGTCTAATCCTCTTCAATTTGACTTTTTCCTGTCGAATTTATGTCTTTAAAGTAAGCCATGCAAGGTTGTAATAATATATATAAATAATAATATATATATATACACACACACACACACACACACACACACACAATTTATTCAAAGTTAGAGTGATATTATGTTGAGTGTAACATTATATTCATGACTGACTGAATGAATATTTCTGCACTCAGGCGAAGGAAGGAGACACGGAGCCAGATCTCTGGGAAAAAGGAGCGACAGCACAGCCTCCGTCTGGCTCGGACCCCTGGGGAGCCCCGTCTGAACCATCCAACGAATCTGCTACCAACGACCCGTGGGGGGCTCCGTCCGGCGAGGCGAAGAAATCCAGCCCGGGTACCAATGACCCTTGGGGAGGATCAGCTGATGGGACAAACGGATCCGCACCCCCATCCAATGATCCATGGGGAGAATCTGCCGATAACGATTCTTCACCCGTCTCCAATGATCCTTGGGGGGAATCTACAAATGCAGAGAAGAGTTCTCCACCTGCCGCCGGCGACCCATGGGGTGACTCTGCTGGAGTACCAGAGGAAAAAGCCCCAGTGAAAAATGACCCATGGGGGGCTTCAGCTGAATCGCCGAAAGACTCTGACGGGAAAACAGCTGATCCTTGGGGGGCACCATCAGAGAGTGTAAAGGATTCAGCACCGGCGGCCTCTGACCCCTGGGGGGCGCCGCTGGAGGCATCATCCGCCACGTCTGATCCGTTTGGCGATGCTTCAAAAGCAGATAATGACCCTTGGGGAACAGCAGGTGAGAATTAGACTGGATTGAAGGAAAAAGGCAGGTGCAGTACATCACATTGTCCAGTAATAATGAGCTTTTACTGTCTAGTCTGGGGAATTAATGCCAAATTTAGCAAAGTTTTGGCTTGTTGTCATTGAGTAGCTTCTGTAGTATTTATGAATGGTACAGTTTAAGACTAAAATCATAAATGATTTTAGGAAAATACTCTTACAAGTTCACTTTTCCAAACTAATGCTTGTGTATTTTACTCTCAGCATCTTCTCCTCCCACTGCGAATGACCCCTGGGGAGCCCCATCAGCACCAGCCGATGCCATGACCAATAATGACCCTTTTGGAGATGGAGGGAAATCAGACCCTTGGGGGGTTTCCTCTGAGAACGGTATTTAAATGGATCACATTTCTTTTTCCATTTATTTCTGCAGTCTCTGATCTTATTTTACATGGTTACTTTTTAACTAGTCTTAGCCTCCACACATTAGTTTACAAACCAAATGATATAAATTACAGGCAAACAATAACAACCACTGAGCCACAGTGTCACCCCAAGAAACCATTTACTAATACTATTTATTTTTATTTTTATTTTTACGACTGTAGTAAAACCGATCTGAAATCATGTAAAACCAACAAAACCTGTTGTCTGATTCGCCACTGGGAGCTGTTTTTGAGTGAACTCAGGATCCACGTGGATTTTATGGTATTACACATCGCCCCCTAGTGGTGAACCATTCAATTTGTAATAGATTTCAAAACAGTTATGGCATAGTGAAGCCCTGTTTACTGAAGTCACATGACCTTGCTTATTTTTATTCACACTCAAATCCACTGATTTGAAACAAAAGTTTTGTCAAGGTTTTGAAGCTTCACAATGCAGTGCTTCAACAACAGCCATTACTACTTCACAGCATCCTCATGATGTATATTGTCCTTCAGCCTAGCCCTGGTAAGTGCAAGAGATGTTTAAGGTCGAATGAAATTTAAATAGAAGTTTGTTTCAGGGCGTATTCATAAGCTAGTGTGCTAAATTTGCATTTAGAAAATATAAAAAAATATATAAACACTCAAAGCTTGTATTTTTTTTTACTTCCGCCTAAATGAACTAATAATTATTTTCATGTCACCTCATACTTCAGTTTTTCAATAATTATTGACCAATCAAATGCTGTCTATATCTGACATGCCCCGCCCCTTTAAGATGCTTTGCATTTGCTTTTCATTAAATGCGCATGAGCTCAACCGCTCTCACTGGCAAAGCTGTGATTAAAAACTAAATGCTATTGGCTGCTTTTTAAATAGGGGAGGGGCTACTCTATGTCCCAACCTCTCTTTATTTATTGGTTGAGATTACGTGAAATATCGAATTAAAAAATGCACATTTCAAAGCACTTCAAATAGGGTTGGGTACTGAAACCCGGTGCCATTATGGGTCACCGGGTCATAATGTAACCGGTATGCACCGGACTGAATCAGCATCTGAATTTCGGTGCCTATTTCCGTTGCCACTAGTGTTGCTACAAGAACGTAAGAAGCATCAAGGGGTGCATCAAAGACACACATAAGTACGCATTGTGTCACACCATCTCTAAATATTTAATTCTAAACAGCTTTGAGGGATACAGACACTGTCAGCGTGCAGTACGGCACATGCGGTGAACGTCTCACTTCATCAACACGCATGATCGCATTCATCTAATCTGCTTAATCTAAGCATTCTTAAGTAATTCTATATTTTACAAGCAAGGATTTTGACACACCAACATGCAGCAGATGCTTTACAAAAGTTGCGTGTAAGGGGGAAACACGTCAAACTTATGGAATTTGAGGGCTCATGGAATCAACTTAAAGGTGAGAAATGGACAGTCTTTGAAAGCTTGTTACATCATCTGGCATTTTCAGTGAGTATGTTTACATGGACACCAATACTCTGATTTTAGTATGATTAGGACAATACTTAGATAAAGACTCTAGTCTACCATGTAAACAGTGATTTTTGATTACCTTAAAGGCAAGGCAAGGCAAGTTTATTTATATAGCACATTTCATACACAATGGCAATTCAAAGTGCTTTACATAAACAAGAATAAAAGAAACAAGAAAAATAAAAATAAAAACAAATAATAAAAATGAACAAAACATAAAAACAGGTAAAATGTGATATAAAAGAATGAAGAAGAAGAGAAAAACATGATAGTGCAATCTGTCGGAAGCAGCACAGTGCTCATTTAGTAAAGGCACAGCTAAACAGATGTGTTTTCAGTCTTGATTTGAATGTGCCTAATGTTGGAGCACATCTGATCATTTCTGGAAGCAAGCTTTTAAAGGACCACAGCCGCAATGACCTTAATGGATCTATTTGAAATAACATGTAACTGGAAATCATGAATGTAACATTTAAAAAGCAGCTCATGTAAACACCTTAATCTTATTATTGTCTTATTCAGATTAAGGCAAATCATTCGATCACTGATTTCCATGTAAAAGTAGTTATAAGCCCCAACCCAGAAAAAAAGTGTACCCTGATTTTGATGACAGCTTTTTCACAGTTTAGTGATAAGCTTATGTAATGTGTAATAGCATAATGCTAAGCTTGCATTCATGCTAACAAACAAATGATCAAAAGAAATATATTAACGCAATTCAAATATATAAAATGTGAATTGATGTTTACTTTAAATTTATAATTACAATAACAAAAACAAAACTGTTCAATAATAATGATTAAAAAAACATTTCGTCAAATAATTTTGTGGTTAAAAGTATTGGTTTAGGCACTGTTTTGGCACAGGTACTGTTTTAAAAGTATTGATTTAGCACTGGTTTCAAAATAACCCCAAACGATAATTAACTCTTACTTCAAGGGACCTTTATGTTTTTTTGCTATCACTAATAATAGTTTATTTCTTTCTATCCCTAGGTAACAACGCAACAAAACCTGCTGAAGAGACTAAAAAGTCCTCCTTCCTCGGAGACGGTGCTTCATTGGTGGACTTGGACTCTCTTATGTCAGTCAAGCCCAAACCCAAACAGCCTCCTCTCAGCGCCATCCCAACCCAAAAAGCCCCTGGTAAGGAGGGCTGAAAAAAGAGAAAGAGAGAGAGAGAAACATTGACAATAAGAGCGACTTGAGAAAGAGAGAGAGAGAAGTACTGTATAGTACATGTTTATTTTTTGGGTGTTTGTGATGCAGTGTTTTTCAAGCCTAGACTTCATATAGTCATGTGAATCATAACCTGTATGTAGTTGATGTAGATCCTATCTCATCCACCTTTTTCCCTGCTTCTATATGCTATCCACTGCCTTCCATCCATCCCTCCCCCATCATCCCTTTTTGTTTTGCACACTTCAGTTTCATCCTTCCCAGGTTATATGCCAGCCACATGCATGATCCCTCCACTGGGCGCCAATATATCCAGTGCAGGCGCTTCTTCCGCACAGCCTTCAAACTGCAGTTATTTTGGTTTTAACACCATGACATCCAGCTCCGGTGGCCTGTTGCCCATAAACAAAGCTTTCGGGATGCCGGTCATCAATATGGCAACCCAGAATGCAAGTCTCTCAGTGCCTAATATTGGTTTTTCCATGGCTAATCCTCCCATGGCGACTAGCATGCTTCAACCCAGCACTGGTGGCACTTTTATTGGTGAGTTTTCCTCCCTGTCTCTCGCAGGAACGTCTGGTACCCAACAGGCTCCAGTCACACATCAGTCTTCATTGGTTTGGGGCACTGGAACCGGGGTAGCCGGGAAAGGAAATAACATTTTTTGAGTTCTCCATTTTAGTCATCCCTAGCCCATCTCCGTTTTCAACCCCGGTTCATTAGTACTAAATGATTTTGTGTGTGGGTGTGTGAGTGTAAATGTGTGGAAAATGTTGAAATATTATTGAGCAACAATATACTGTAAGTCGTATGTTTTGAGACAAAAAGCATGCATTTCCTGGCCTTTCCAACATAATGGAGTGACTGATGGATTTATTTATTTATTTATTTATTTATTTGTTTGTTTGTTTGTTTGTTTATAATTCTTAGTATATTTTAGAAACCATAAAGATCTCATTCTTGAAGGATTTAGGAAAGATCTGCTGGAGCAATAGAGCAGATTTGGATAAACTACCATTCAAATGTCTGTGGTCTTAAAGATTGATCGATTGGTAGGAAGTTATTTATTGATCAAAGTTACTATAAAGACATGTAAATTTATCTGAGTATGTTGATAACGACCAAAGAAATGCATATTAGGGTTGGGCGATGTTGACCCATTTGGCATCGTACAATGTCTTATGTGAAGCATTGCGATGGGCGATGGCATCGTTGTCGTAGGCGGTGGTGAATTCATTATTTATGAATACTTAATTAATTGACAACGAATTAATTAGTTGTAGCCTACCGTTTCAACTACCTGACCAGCATAGTCTTTGTTTTACTCATTACCAAATTATGAATAAATAAAGATAAGTTACACACAAATTACCACCTGTCAATCACTTTTTCCACAGGAAATTACTAAGTAAAAGCGTGAAAGCGAAAGATTGAAGCAGTGTACTGACACTGCGGATAGATTTAAAAGACCGAAGAGTCGTTAGATAGAGACCAGATTAATTAAATATCATGTTTAACAACTATAGTGAGATCCAATCCAGCGGTACATCCTTGATCAACTGTCCAACATGCACTGCTCAAAGCACCCATGACTGATGGAGCTCAGATGCGCGCATACGCTGCAGCCCATGACACAGTGTGTTTGTGTGTGTGTGTGGTCACGTGATGTGCGTTTTCAGCGGTATAGTGTGGAAAGAGGGCTTTTCAGAAATGCTAGGTGAAACACCAATGTGGATGCGGATCGTTTTCATTCTAACGTATTACTGCAAATGGGTCTTAAGTGTGTATTTTTCGCGAGCGGATTACTGCTGCAACGGGAGCAAGGGCGGAGGAACGCGATGCCGGCATAGCATCGTGAAGTCTATCGACCATTGGCGATAGACGATGACATCGTGTATTGACCCAACCTTAATACATATATGAAAAGCAAACAAATCTAATTAGTTCACAAATGAAGTTATGTCTAACAAAATGAAATGATGCAGGGAAAAAGTATTAAACGCATGAAGAAAGGGATGTGCAGAAAGGCAGTGAAAGCCCAGACAGCTGCTGAAATCTCTCAGTAGTTCTTCAGCAACTCTCTGCCCTTCTTCATTGTAAATCAATACCAGGTGCTTCAGTCTAATACCTACATTAGCAGGATTATGAAGATGGAACTAGAGTGGACATTTCAACAAGACAATGAAACTCTCAAATGCTTTCAGAGAAAGAAAATCAAGCTGTAGAATGGCCCGGCCAATCACCTGACTTAAATCCAATGGAGAATCCAAAATAAAGATCAGATATGATCGACGAGACCCTCAGAGCCATCAAGATATTTACACTTTGTTGAAGTCTGTGAAAAAAAAATCACACCTGAACATTCTCCACATGAGAGTCGTCTTTAAGCTGTCACAGTAAGGATTTTAATTTTGAAAATATGTACTCAAGGAGAAAAGCTGTATTTATATTGTATATTTGGTCAAATAAACCTGTCTTAACGTTAACATTTGAAGAGATCTTTGAAACAACATGAATGATCTTACAACCCAAATCATTTGAAGACTTCAGCTTCCCCTGAACAAAACTGCATGTATATTCCCAAATCTGTATTGTAAAAATAACAGACCCCATCATAACAATTAGTTTGCACAACCAGCATTTGTCTGTATATTGTATCAGAGACAAACATTTCATTAATGGCAAATCAAAACGTGGCTTGTAGTGATACGATGGTTTCAGTGATGCACATTTTTACCCTTTTTTAGTTGGTCATGTGAAGAAGAGGTACGTGGTGTAGTTACAAGTAACTGACCAACATTTTTAACGTTTATGTATGTTGTTTGGTTTGGAGTTGATCTGTTCTGTGACAAGTATCAAATGTCAGAGCGACGCAGCAAGTGACGATCATACACAGTCAGGGGCGGACTGGCCATCTGGCAATTCTGGCAAATGCCAGAAGGGCCGGACCAACTTTTAAATGTGGGCCGATCAGTTTTTTTTTTTTTTTAATAATAATATGTATTGTTTTTAAGTGCAGACAGCTTTTATCTCTTTCTAGATGTGATATTAAGATGATGTTAATAAAAAAAAAAAAAAAAGTAATAATAAATGTTAAGCATTTGGCCCAATCGGCAACTGCCGCCTGGTTTCAAGATGGGCCGACCCAATCCAAAGTTACCTGGACATAATCAAAATCTTGGCAAAAATGTCATATTATTTCACCATCTTAACACCAAAATAAATAGTAAATGTGCGTGTCCGTGGGCGGGGCTGTGGTGGTGTGGTAATGTGGGCTGATGTGGCAACAGTGCCAGGGCTGAATTTTTGTCCCAGTCCGCCCCTGTACACAGTATTTATTGGGCATTGTTAATTTATTGGTGTAAGTTAGCAATATTAGAGGATGGAGGAAGAGAAAAATGTATTCTTGTTTTTCTGTAAGATGATTTATTGAGGTCTTCGTCACTGTTTTCTTTCTGATAAATGTTGTAAGATGTTTAATTTTATTTTTAATCAGAGTTTACTGTTGGATCTAATGTTTTTATTGTATTAATCCTACAGTTTATCTATAGGAAGTGGTTGCTGGAAGACAAGAATCACCATAATTCAATTGCATTGAAAAATGTATGAAGAAAGCATACATTTCCGCATAGGCTATAGTTATACATTCAGTTACAGTTTTATTTTGTATTACAGATTTATTTATTTATTTATTTATTTAACCAGCTATGGTAAACCTGTGGTGTTACCTGTGAAAGTGCACAATTTAAATGAATAAATTCAAGATCATTGAAAAGCACTTCCTTGGTTCTGGTGACTCTTGCATTGTTTATATTTTTAATTGTTCATATCGAGAATGTTAAATTAATTAAATGAATAGTTCACACACAAATGCAATGATGTTCTTAATTACTCACCCTCATGTCTTTCCTGGAGATCTTCTTTTATTTTCGAATCACAAATAAAGTTATTTTAGATTAATTCTGAGAGCTCCCTCATCCTCCACAGACAGCAACTAATGTTCAAATATTGTCCATAAAAGAAATCAAAAACATTGTCAAAAGAATCCACGTGACTTCAGTAGTTCAACTGTAATCATACCAAACTCCAAGAACACTTTTGTGCACCCCAAAAAAATCTGCAAATATGACTATATGTCTTAGAATAATAAAAATAATTGCAATAATATAATTTTCAGAAAAGATGCAAAGAAGTATTATTGGTCACACTTTACAATAAGGTTCATTAGTTAATGTTAATTATGGCATTTATTAACATGAACAAACAGTGAACAATACATTTACTACAGTATTTATTCATGTTAGTTAATGTTAGTTAATGAAAATACAGTAGTTCATTGTTAGTTCATGTAAACTCATGGTGCATTAACTAATGTTAACAAGGATGGACTTGGATGGTAATAATGCATTAATAAATGTTCAATTATGATTAATAAATGCTGTACATGTATTGTTCATGATTAGTTCATGTTAGTAAATGCATTAACTAATGAACCTTATTGTAAAGTGTTACCGTATTATTTTCCTAACCTAATTATTGAATGTGACAAGCAAACTTTTTAAACTTTGTTTTTACAAAATACTATCAGATAAACTAACTTTAAATAAACCTAAAACTTTAAATAACATTGAACATGGAAATGAGTAAGTCTCGAATATTAACAATATCAAGAACTGCTTTATATTAATATGCAAGATTAGTCTATGCCTTGCAGTGTTTACTCAAAACTTTTCTGTAAGGGCTGAAATAATGTCAACCCGAAACTATTCAAACCCCTGGCAAATTTCAAAGTTACTTTTATTCAACCAGCACATTTTTGTTGTTGTTGTTTTACCTAAAATGACACAGGCTTAAGACGATTTTTGAGAGGCGTTGTTATAGACTATTTCTCAGCTTTTATTTACATTTGAACAAAAACTTTAAGTCAGAATTTACAAGAGGTATAATTTCGGCCTTCACTGTATATGTTGAATGGTTGATGATTTTCCAGGGAAACCGCGCCACTAAAGTAGCCCAGTTCCAGCTATGTTTTGACCTCCATTACAGCTCCACATATTAGTCTACAACAGTCAAAAAATACATCAAAACAAAACAGATGTGATGCGCAAGGAAGCTAGCTCTTTGAGGACAAAAACTTATTATATGTCTTGAAATACATCACCTGAACATGTCCAAGTATGGTAACTGTAACGTAAGGGAAATAAATTACAACAGTACATCGAATTTTAAGTAAATAACCACCTCAGTTTCAAGAGTCCATCATCAGTTATTCATTATGCAGTCTATTCTTACTCAGAGCAGCCATTTTATTTTAAATGCTTATGTCAGTCAAGAAGTCTCGTTTGTTTTCTTGGTTATTGCAAACTATAACTTAACGAAGAACCCCGTCTTGCCATTGCATTACTTTGTTTTAACCACTAGGGGGATCATGCATTTGTAATGAGACGTCCTATATAATACAGTATACTCACCACTTTTCATTCATACATTGTGAAGGAGTCGTTCTTGTTGTTGTTTATTCAGCTGTTTTTTATTTAAAAAATAATATCTAGAACAACATTTTCACACATAATGCGTTTTTGTGATCAGAAACACTAAGTCAGTAGTGTTAAACTTGATTAGTTAGTAAGTTAATTAGTGCAGCCACTAAGCTAGTAACTTTAGCACATATTCATGGGCTAGTTTAAAAGGGCTAGTTTAGTAAAAGAAAACTCTGCCAACGTTAACACATCAAACTTGTTCCAAACCTCATAGTTTCTTTCTTCTGTGAACATAAAATTATATATTTTAAAGAATATAGGAGACTTGTAGCAATTGACTTCCATGTTTGTTTGTTTTTCCTAGCCTATGGATTTCACCTACCGGATTTCACCATTGTTCAAAATATATTATTTTGTGTTCAACTGAAGAATAAAAAAAGAAACTTGTAAAGCTTAGAAACAAATTGAGGGTGAGTAAATGGTGATTAATTTTTCATTTATGGGTGAACTATTGATCCCTTAAATTATTCAATTTCCTGTCACTGCTGTTGTTAAAAAACTCAGGATTGGAGGGAGTCCAGGACAATACAGTGCAGTCTAAAAAGCCCTTGAGAGCACAGAATGGATAAAATACATGTGCAGAAGGATGTGACATACATCTGAAGAGAAGCATTTAATTCACAAGGAGGAGATGAATGTAACCTGGTTGTAGGCGAACAGTGATGAGAGAGATTTAAACTAGAACTATAGAAAGAGGCAGAATCGAAGGAACAGATGGACTTGGGCGGATTAAGTGAAAGCTGGGTGGGTTTGTCATAATAAACATTCACTGGAGGTCGAGAATGAATAAAAGAAAAGAGAGATTGCGAGAGAATAAGGTGAAACTGCAGAGACAGATGTGAAGTGCATGAAAAGGTAGGCTGCAATTTTGTTTTTAAGCATGTTATTAAAATATAGTTTGGTAATGCATATGTGTATATGTATTTATTTAGTAACATTTCTACTTATGTGCATTTTTGATTTGTTTTTCATTTTGCCATGGAATTATTTGTTAATATTAATGGTATGCACCACATACAGTTAAATACATAATTATTCGAAGATATTTTAAGCAATATTTTTTCATAAATAAATCCTTCGGTCTTCGTCACGATGACAATCCGTATTATAGTACTGGTTATTTTGCAAGATACTAGAATTAAAGTGCAATTTAAAGGCTCAACTATAGGTTAATTAGACATGGTCAATTGGACAATAGTGGTTTGTTCTTAAGCCAGTTGAGGTAAAAATAAATGGGTGATAATAAAATTAAAATGACCAGTTTTTTAATTATTTATCAATTAAATTAATTTATCTCCAGAAGAAATATATTAGAAAACACTGAATAAAGCTCTGTAAAACATTATTTTTAATATATATTCCTGGTAATATGTCCTGTTTTTGGTCAGTGCTATTGATTTTTTAATGTGTGAACAATTGACATTATTGTCTTTGCAGGTGTACAAATATACTAAAATTGTGCAATAAATGTAATTATAATGATGTAATACAATTGGTTAATAATAATAATAGTATTTACTAACAATGACAATTATTAAATATTACATGGATAGACCTGTAAATTTTATACTTAGTCTGTTTAGATAACGTGAAATTACCAGTTTTTATTTTATTTATTTATTTGTCAATAAATTTTTCTCCAAAAGAAAAAACACATTCGGAAACACAAAAGCTCTGTTAAACATAATTTTGATATATATATATATATATCCCTGTTAATATATCCTGATTATGGTGCTATTGATTTCTCAATGTGTGAACAATTGACATTCTTATCTCTGCAGGTGTAAAAATCTATTAAAACTGTGCAATAAATATAATCATTATGATGTAATAAAATTGTTTAATAATAATAGTATTTTCTAACAATCACAATTATTAAATATTACATGTATAGATCTGTACATTTCATACTTAATCTGTTTAGATAACGTGAAATTACCAGTTTTTAATTTATTTATTAATTAATTTTTCTCCAGAACAAAAATATATTGGGAAACACTGAAAAAAGCTCTGTTAAACATGATTTTAATATATATCCCTGTTAATATATCCTGATTATGGTGCTATTGATTTCTCAATGTGTGAACAATTGACTTTATTATCTCTGCAGATGTAAAAATATATTAAAATTGTGCAATGAATGTAATCATAATGATGTAATATAATTGTTTAATTATAATAGTATTTTCTAACAATCACAATGATTAAATATTAAATGTATAGATCTGTACATTTTATACTTAATCTGTTTAGATAACATGAAATGACCAGATTTAAATTTATTTATCAATGAATCTGACTACAGAACAACAATATATAGGGAAACACTGAATAAAGCTAGGCGAGGCAGTGGCGCAGTGGGTAGCATGTTCGCCTCACAGCAAGAAGGTCGCTGGGTTGCTGGTTCGAACCTCAGCTCAGTTGGTGTTTCTGTGTGGAGTTTGCATGTTTTCCCTTCCTTCGCGTGGGTTTCCTCCTTGTGCTCCGGTTTCCCTCACAGTCCAGAGACATGTGGTACAGGTGAATTGGGTAGGCTAAATTGTCCAGATGTTGTGGATGTGTGGATGTTTCCCAGAGATGGGTTGCGGCTGGAAGGGTATCCGCTGCGTAAAAACTTTCTGGATAAGTTGGCGGTTCATTCCGCTGTGGTGACCCCGGATTAATAAAGGGACTAAGCCGACAAGAAAATGAATGATGAATGAATGAATAAAGCTCTGTTAAACATAATTTTAGTATATATATATATATATATATATATATATATATATATATATATATATATATATATATATATATATCCCTGTTAATATATGGTGTTATTGATTTCTTACTGTTGACAGTTGAATTATTATCTCTGCAGTTGAAAAAATATATTAAAATTGTGCAATACATGTAATCATAAAGATGTAATACAATTGTTTAATAGTATTTACTAACAATCACAATAATTAAATATTAAATGTTTAGATCTGTAAATTTTATACTAAGACTGTTTAGATAACATGTAATGACCAGTTTTTATTTTATTTATCAATGAAACTTTCTCCAGAACAAAAATATATTGGGAAACACTGAATAAAAGCTCTGTTAAACATCAATTTTTATATATATCCCTGTTAATATATCCTGATTATGGTGCTATTGTTTTCTTAATGTGTGAATAATTAACATTATTATCTCTGCAGATGTCAAATATATTAAAATTGTGCAATAAATGCAGTTATAATGATGTAATACAATTATTTCAAAATAATAGTATTTACTAACAATCACAATGATTGAATATTACATGATTAGATCTGTACATTTCATACTTAATCTGTTTGCTTTAGGTGTCTGGAAAGACCAGGACAGACAGATGTACCTTTCTTTCTCTTAGAGATTAACCGAGATCATGAAGGATTACAAAGAACTGAACGATGGTGATGAAGACATGAAATAAGTATGAAATCCTCAGAAAACTGTAATCCTTTCCAAGACGGATACCAGGTAAGACTCTTCGTTACCACAAAAACGTAGAGTGTTTTCATCTGAGCTGAAGAACATCTGGGAAACACTGATGAAGATTTTCAGCTGTCATCTTTAAAGGATTTTTAAGGACACATTTGTCGGAGGTGGACCACGAAGACATGTTTAACTGAGTCGCTTCGCCATTTTTACATGGAAACCTAAGGCACTGGCAAGTTTGTTTCCTCGCATCTGTCTGTTATCCTTTTCTTTAAATCCTCTGCTCATCATCTCACTTCCACTGAGCTTTAGTTTGGCCTCTGCGTCTTCAATTTCTGTTTGTTTCCTCCGCTCGTATAAACTCCTCCTCGCTGACTTTTGACACTGGCCTGTGAATGCAATCATTTCTTCTAGTTTAGTAATCTTTCTATCCTCACAAAACTGCACACTGTTTTTTTGTAATTTTTTTCTTTTGCTTTGTCAATAGATTGACACACACATGCACTGAGACAAAAAACACTCTTTTTTACACTGCAAAAAGAACCTAAATTAATTATATAAGAAGATACAAACAAAACACACGTCACATTATCTGCCAGCTCAGTAATATAATTATACTTGGTAAGATTTTTACAAATAAGAAAACTTGTTTCCACTAAAAAAACAAAAAAAAAAATGTATGCTTGTTCAAACTACTTATTTAAAATGATCTGAAATGACACAATTCTTCCGATTTTTTTTTTTTTTTTTTGGGGGGGGGGGGGTGGGGGGGGGGTTCAACTTAATTGTTTTATCTTCAATCCACTTAAATTTGCAAAAACTAATAAGTTAGCTTAATTCCTTTATGTTGTCCCAACATAAATCAATTGTGTGGAACCCAGCATTTTTACAATGTAGGCATTAGTAAAGAGAATTATTTCTTAAAATAAGTAGTATGACACTTCTTCCAAGCAGCATATTTTATTATCTAAAACTATCTTGCCATCTTGTTGAAAGCTTTTCAAATGGTATGCTTTTCCTATTTTGTGTGGAGAGGTCTTAAAATTAGAGTTGCTAAACAGCAGCATTCCAACTGTGATACAGTATATTCTGTCTTAAAATGAGCCAAAGCATCTAAACTTAAAAGAAGATCTGGTCACACTTTATTTGGATGGTCCGTTTTTTTGAATTAAGTTACATTGCATCCACATGCCAACTTAATTCTCATTAGATTAGAAGTAGACTCTTGGGTTAGGGTTGGGGTTAGTGTTAGTGTAAGTTGATATGTGCTTGCAATGTTTTTTTATAGTCAGTTAAATGTCTGTTGAAGGAGCAGTATCAACAGATATTAAGCAGACAGTCTACTAATACTCAAATGGACTATCAAAATAAAGCGCTACCTAAGATTATTCTATGATTTTTTTTTAATGTTTGTATTAATAAAAATGAAAAGGGCAGATTTAATAAACTACAGCCAGTAACAATACAATACATATGAGACGAAAAAACACAAAAAACCTGCATTCTTAAATATATATGGTGTTTAATGTGGGTATATAAATAAGTCAAGCATCAATAATAGTAAAAATATTAATAGTAATGATGTTGATAATTAAAGTAGTGTGTGTGGGGGGAAGTGAGTAGCAGTAATAGGTGTAGTGATAGTAATGATAATAATAAAAGTAATAGAAAGTATTGTATGAATTAAATTAGGATCACACATGGAGTTGAAGTCAGAATAATAGCCCCCCCCACCTTTTTGGAAATTTTCGCAGTATGTCTGATAACATTTTTTCTTCTGGAGAAAGTTTTATTGGTTTTATTTCAGCTAGAATAAAAGAAGTTTCGAATCTTTTAAAAGCCATTTTAAGGACAAAATTATTAGCCCCTTTTTTTCAATTGTTTAAAAAAAACATCGTTATACAATGACTTGCCTAATTACCTTAACCAGCCTAGTTAACCTAATTAATTTTTATGCTGAATACTGTGTTTTTAAAAAAAAAAATCTAAAATATGATTATTATATTTATTAATAAATTAAATCAATTATTAGAAATGAGTTATTAAAACTTCTGTTTAGAAATGTGTTAAAAATATTCTCTGCATTAAACATAAATTGGGGTAATAAATAAACAGTATGGCTTCAACTGTATGTGCATATTGCCCACAATTTTTTGTTCAAATTTAAGACTAGACAGTACATTGTTAACGATTTTTGGTATTTAACTGTAATATAACCTGTATTTTACTGTAGGACAGTTATGCAGTATGTTACTGTATTTTAAAGTTGCATTGTAAAATGTACTGTATACTTTACAGTTAAGATATACATGCCATTCTGTAAATACATACATGCAAGATAAATGGTTCTGTAAATGTAAATACAGTAGTATAGCTGTAATTGATTATTGCAGTTACTGGCGCCAACTGCTGCCAAGTTACTATAGATTCTACAGTAAGGCGTTAACAGTGTAGTTAAAAAAAATTACTTGCTGCTTTTCAAAATTCTGAGGCTTACTTACATCAAAACTTTACAGAATGTATTTTACTCTAAGGTGCGAGTTTAAGTGTGCTTAAGCTTAAACTTAAAACAAGTTTTACAGTGTTATTACCACTAAAATAAAGTCTTACAAATACAAGTGTGGTTTTAAACTATGTTTCTGATTGTAATTCATCTAAATTTGCAGGTAAAATACCTAACTATTCTTTACTAAATAAAAACAAGCTAAATAATCCTAAAAAAATCATAATAATTTTACACAATCTGCTCTAAATCGACATAATTAAGATTTCCTTGCTGCAATTGAAACTGTAACTCTTGACTATAGATAAGGATTTGTTTTGCAGTGTTGTACATGACTGTTGTCTTTTCTTTGTCCTCTGCAGTATCAGTTTCTGCCATGTTGGAGCAATTGTCCCGCAGGAATCGGTCGTTTCTGTCCCTCTCGCTGACCTCTCTGGCCCTGGCGCTCTCTGTGCTGGCCTTTTGCACCTCTTACTGGTGCGAGGGAACGCACAAAGTTGCCAAGCCTCTCTGTCTGTCACCTGTCAAAATGAAGAACTGTGGACAAAACAACAGTCAGCCTTACACAACTGGTAAGGATGCAGCGATAAGAATATATTAAACTATTTTTAACTTAAAAGAATCACTCGTAACTTTCAGGAATTCATTGCACTTTTCTGAACACCTTCCCTTATGAATAAAACCGTATACGCTGGTAGGTGGGTTTTGATACTGGTTTAAGATGGTTCTTTGCTGGTCAGGAAAAAAAGGTCAGTGTGTACACATCCTAAGAAAACTTTAAACCAGGCGTCACCAATCTCGGTCCTAGAGGGCCGTTGTCCCTGCAGGGTTTAGCTCCAACTTGCCTCAACACACCTGCCTGGGTGTTTCAAGTACACCAAATAAGACCTTGATTAGCTTGTTCAGGTGTGTTTGATTAGGGTTGGAGTGAAAATCTGCAGGACACCAGCCCTCCAGGAACAAGTTTGGTGACCACTGCTTTAAAAGGATAGTTCACCCCAAAAATGGAAATTTCCTTTTAATTTACTCACCCACAAGTCATTCAAGATGTAAGTGACTTTTTTTCTTCAGTAGAACATTAATATTTTTAACCAAATCCAGTGTCTTTGGTTATTCATGGCAGCGAATGGTTATAGATTTGTTAGATTAAAAATAAACACATGCAAATGAGTTCTAATCAATAAGTCTAATCAGTAAGTGTAATAAACCCAGATAACAACTGCTGAAACTGATAACACAAACTCATCCAGGTACTATTATATAGAATTGGAGGCACGTCATGATTTTGCCAAGCACAATGCGATCCTGGATTAACGACTATGTTGATCCTAGAACGTAATTTTTGTTCAAAAAATGTAATCTCTACCCCTAAATCCAACCTTAACTGTAAATTATTCCCAGAGGGGATAACAATCATGTAGAAGTGTATAAATCTAATCATGAGCCTAAACTTAACATAAACAATAACCGTATTCCTTAATTCTGATTGGCTGATTGGAATGTTGTTACAGGATCAATGTTAATGCAGGAACATGTCCTTCTTGGTGAAATCAGGTTGGCGAGAATTGAAGAGTACATATATATATATATATATATATATATATATATATATATATATATATATATATATATATATATATATATATATATATATGTATATATGTGTGTGTGTGTGTGTGTGTGTGTGTGTGTGTGTGTGTGTGTGTGTGTGTGTGTGTATATATATATACAAGGTTAGTTGTCACTGTTGTTATTGACTGTTTGGCGCCATCTTATTTCTTTATTTCATTAAAAAGTTTGAAATTTAATACAGCTCAGGTAAATGTTTTGAGTCTAGTCGCTTACTTTTGTGGCAAGTAATCTTGTAATAAGTGGGATAAATAATATCTTTGGGAAGGACGCATATGGCTGCTGAAGCCTGTCAGATTTTATTTTGCAAGAAAAACAGCCTTGATGCAGGCTACATTCAACCGACATCCTCAACACAGATTCTTTTAAAACTACTCATAAATCACAAACAATCTCGTGAAAATGCACTTTTAAACCGTAAAATCAAAGCTTTGCAGGTCAGTACTTACTGTACTGTGATCTTTCAGGTCAGCAATTCTA